GTCAAACCTCCTCAGGTAGGTGCCGAGGTTCTCTGTGGGAATATCGTGTACGTGTCTGCTCGTGTGCGTTTGACCCTTCCCTCGCCCCCCGACTATGAGGATGAGGATCACAAGGTCTCCATGCCTCCTCATCGTGTTCACTTTTCCAACAACAATTCCCCTCAACATCGATTGGCCTCTGACCACGACTAGCGAACGGCACAAGAAGTCATCTGGTCCGGGTTACTAGCTTGTCCCGGCTGAAGCAGCGGTGTTTTCAACACCTCGGGTGAACTTTGCCTTCAGTTGGGAAAGCAAACGTGTAAAAGAATCCTGCATCACTGCGGAGCGAATGAACCAAAATGCGTTCATTAGCCGTCATCAGAAGTCTCCTCGCTGGACAGTGTTCAGGTCGGTGATGTTATCTTACTGATCTCAGTGGAGCGGGCTACCTACAACGGTCGCAGTAACAGACGGCTGCGTGTTGACTTCCTCTGCATACAGCAGAGGTGGGTCAATCTGCAAAGGTCACGCGTGTGTCTGCACTAAGTGTGTTTGTGTGTGTGCGTGTGTGTGTGTGTGCATGCGTACGTTTCTTAGAGGCTGGTTTCAGTTCCCTCGCAGGGGTTCTATTGTTAAAGGCTTCCTGCAGAAATCTAGCAGGGAAAGCAGAGGAAAGTTAGGATCACACACATCTGGTGGCTTAACAGAGCATTTTCATTTTTTTGTTGCAAAAATAATGACTACGTGTTCAAAATAAAGGGTCCTGCTCCAACAAATGATTCATCTTTCCTCTTTGAAATTAAAATGAATAATAACTAGAAATCTGGCTGATCTTGAGACAATGACCTCATTCATCCAAACGCACATGATAAAAGACGCTCTATTGACTGATCCGTGGACTAGATACAAGGCTTTCAACGCACACATTCAAGCCTCGGCTCTAAAGCACAACTACTCGTTGGTCGATTGCATTATAAAGCCGTAAATGTATTGGCTCACTGTCGTGTTTATTATTCATGTCACTGTCAATGGGGCAGAGGCAGAGCACTTCCCTTAATTGTTGGAGCAGATGTTGAAACAGACATTACTTTCTGCTTTCGTTCGCCTCATTATTCTTTGTCTTTCACCCTCTTTCTTGTTTTTGTGTTCTCACTGTGGGCAGTATGCGTGACATACAGAGTTATTTAGCCCCCTCACGCCAGCATGTCCTTGGAAGTGCACAATGATTTGCTCTGAGCTTCTGTTTCACACTAGTTTAAAAAAGGGACAAATTTACCAGATGTGAGCTTTTATTTTACAATTGTTTTCCAGGAAAACTGGTCTTCATTTTCAAGCTCTTCACATACAATGAGATCCCAAAATTGGGGTTCTGCTTCTTCTCAGCCTTCTTGTACTCTCTGGGGCTTTCAAATATCACAAGCTATTAAATATAATTGTATTTTCTCAGCCATTTTCCTCGGTGAGATGCTGCTCAGCGTCCAGTTGAGAGACTCTGTAAATCATTTACAGCAGTGCGACGGTAAGTGACTATAGTTCTCTCTGTGGGTCGTGCACATGTGTGAGCGTGTTCTTGTGCATTTATATGGAGGGGCACTGTGGGTCAAACCTTTGCCCACTCCAGAGACAGGAAATGGCTCCAATAGGGGCCGGAGTGTGGCCTCCTTCGAGGCCCCGGGGAGTGATTGAGGCCTCTTGTCCGTACCAGAAGAATCAGTGAGAGAGACCCACAAGAGAAAATTAAAGATGCTTCATCAGGAGCATATGACACCATCTGGTAGGCCTCACAGGAGGCCAGAGGTTTATCAATAGTGCCAATGAGGTAGCAGATGATTAGCTGATGCGTCAAGAAAGATTTTTGTCTCTTCCGATTTTTGTATTTCTGAAAGACGGGGTGTTACAACCCAAAACAACTTGGTTTTTTTACACATTTCATTATTGTATCCAAGTTTTTATTTTATTGCAGTTTCAAACATTTCAATACTGTTTTACATCATCACACTGACATCGTCAGGAGATAAATTAGATTTGCTCCAGGAATAATGCTCTAATGCTTGCAAATCTTGGCCCGTGTGCAAATATTCTACCTAGATGGTCAGAGGCTCAGACGACCGTCTAGGTTGTGATGGTAGCAGAGAAGGTTATTTACACTGAGCATATTTGCAACCATCTGGAGATTCATCTCTCCGAGGAATTTCTATGGCCACACTTACAGGCTCCTTAACGTCAGGGGAGAAGACAGCGGTTGCTACTTGTCTTCTGTTTGTGATGTTTTATTTCTTTCTTGGCAACGTTCGTCAAGGATGAACAAAGTAGAGATGATTATTGAACCAATTTCTATAGATTTTCATTGTGCATATACTGTACTATGTAATCACTTTAGGTACTTTTGAATTTTTTTGAGTGTTTCCTGTTCATGCTACTTTAATTTGTACTCTGTAAATACTGTAGTTTGTGTTCTAACCCATTATATGTGTATGTTACTTTACCAATAAACCTTAACATTCAAAACACAATACTTTATAAACTACAAGGTATTACGTACAAGTTTGTACGGTAGCTAAGAAATCATCACATCTCCATGGACAACAACGAAAACTAATTTTCACCTGTTCCTTTGGACAGGAATCTCCAGGGGGGAGCAGGATTAGTGGGTTAACGTTCCCTCTTTATTGAGGTTTTAAGGTGTCACGAACCACGAAACAGCTCACGATTCAATTTGGTTGCAAAGATTTAAACAACACTTCAGACTCCAGGCTTAAAAGGGTAGATTTCCAATAAATGTCAGCTTGCTGCAAAATTAGCTCAGTATTGAAACAATTTAGTCTCTTGTGTAATGCCGGATTATTATTGAGTGTTGTCATGTGCTCTATACATCAGTTTAATTAAGCCCAGAAAAAATATCAGGTGGGTTTCATGCACCACCTTTTGTTAATAAAAAAAATATGTGTAACACAGAAAAGGAAGTCAACCAGTCTTAAACGTTCGCCAACATTAAATAAGCATCAATATATTTACCCCCCCACCCTCGGCTATACTTAATTAGTTCTCTTTGCATTTGCAACAAAACTAGACATGCTGAACAGGTGTTTCCTCTTCATTATAAAAATATTGTTTACAAATTCCAACTAAGATTCTTAATTATTGCACATTTGTTTATGCTTGACTACTTAATCTTTAACCGCACTGAATCAAGTTGTGCTTCTGCGACGGGATGATTCACACAACAGTTTCATCCCACCTTCCATCAAACAAATGCATTCTCAACTCGGATGGAATACAAACTGACCGCATTAAACTGAGCATCCTTCATCGGTGACGGGCTCAGACACAGCCATAATAAACAGAATGTGTCATAAGTCCTCGGTGAACAATACGCTCTCCTTGTCTGGAAATGTTTCACAGCTGGTGGTGATCGAGCCCCCCGATACCTGACACAAGTGACCATACAAGGACAGCTACGCCTCCCTGGGCTGGTGTGGGACTCATCCTCACTGTCCGCTTGAACTTTGCCTCAGTGTTTGCAGCAGCAACGCTCAAAAAAGCATCTTCAAAATGCAGAATGACATGCAACAGGGAGAGACGTCGTTGTGCCACATGAGGGAACAAATCGCCATTGTTCTGATGGGTAATACACCATCACAGTGCACTGAATGGTTAAAGATAAGGGTGGAGTTTTAGAGGTAAATCACAAGTTTACATTATAGAAATAGTTTGTTATTGTAAAGATATTACCATTGTTGTAGTTGAGAAGTCGGCTTCATCCTTTTTTAACTGCAGACATTTTGCAGAAAAAAGCACAGGGGTAACTAGTTATATGAGTAACAGCTGGACTTCCTTGAGTTCTTCCAGTTCCAAGGCCCAGGGTTTTTGTGAAAGCCGGCTGGTTAACATTCTAAGTTACACCTGTTGCCTTTCCTGCCACGGCAAAACCAGAAGTCCCGCAAGACCCGCTGACACTCCTACTTTCCTCCCCGCTGTCATGACTCACGGGACAATCCTGCTTGATACCACAAAGTAACCACGACAACACCAGGGGAGTACTGAAGTGGGTGGGAGGTTGAGTGGAGTTTGTTTTTGCTACGTCATCTTTAAAAATAGACCTCTGCCAAAGATAAAGTGGCGTTATAATAACTTGCAGCCAATCAACAGTAGGCCTCCTCACAGCCATAGATAGTAGACACCATTGCAAGTTAGCAAATTACACTACTGTGCTGTATGTTAAGTCACAAACACACATTGATAAGGTGGTCCTCGGAGTCCATTTGAAGTCGGTTTCCGAAAAATAGAAAATTCGGTTTGTATGCAGTCTTTGGATTGTGGATTCTGTGAACTTATAAAAGATTTTAAAAAGCTGTTACATGGAGAGTTTCTGCTGAATATGTTTCCTGATTTGTATTTGAAGTAAGGAGGAGAAGAAAAATGTCCGCAGACAATAAATCTGTTTCCTACTCGCACACTGCCACCTTGTGCTGAGAGTTGGTCTTAAAACATATGAACTGCAAATACTGTGTACTTTAATATTTTTCAGAATATCAAGGTGATATATACAATATATAAAAAGGTCAAGTAACAAGGTGGAGTCACTTTGACTATTGTCAGCGACATTTTAGATACATACAAATACAAGAACACAGCATTCAAATATATTTAAGTAGATGCCATAGTTCTCAGCTCACAATTAATGCCTCGGTACTTAAGTATGAACAAAACAGATAACTGGTGAGACATTTTAATCATTTAACTTTTCTGTGAACCGCTGTTTCTATTTTTTTTATCATAACAAACAAATCTGCATGTCATTATTCGAATCAAATGTTCTAAACGCTATAATGTTTATATATATAATTTAATTATATATATATAATCTATATCTCTCTATATATATAGATATACATGTGTATAAAACTAAATTATAATTTGCTATTCACAGTGGTCGCCATGTGTCAAATGTGCCTAGTATTTCTGACGGCACGCGAAGGCAACAGCCGAGATGCGTTCACTGTTCCGTTCAGTCCGGAGTCGACGTCACTTCTACCATGTTGAAACAGGAAGTAGGCAGAGCCGACGCGGGGATCCTGTAACTGTGCTCACCGTGTTTGCTCGATCGGTTGGCCGTTCTCCGCGTCGACATTCGGGTTACATGCTGCGTGTCTTTCTGGCCTGTCGAGGTAGGCGCGTCTCTTCGGATCTGATCGTTTCGTAGCAGCAGCAGCAGCGATGGCCTCCCTCAAGCAGAGAACCTCGGGCCTCGTCCAGCGGAGGAGCGAGGCCATCCGCAGCGCCGCCGACAAGGACAGGGACTCCGCCGAAGAGGAGGACGAGGCCCGCCGCGGGGAGGAGGAGGACGACGACGACGACAAGGGGGACTCGAAGGAGACCAGGCTCACGCTGATGGAGGAAGTGTTGCTCTTGGGCCTCAAGGACCGGGAGGTGTGTGTGTGGTTTTTTTTTTGTTGTTGTTTCGTTTAATCCCGTCAACACGACTCGCTCGTGAGGAACCAGGAACATTTATTAAACAAATACGTCCACAAGGAATTTGACTCGGCGGTTGGTGCGTAAACACCGGACCGTAAAGAGCGTTCGCTCGCGCGCTTGTTTACTTTGCGTCGCGAGCCCTGCTGGCAAAGTTGATTTTTTTTCTTCCCCTGTTTATTCAGACGTAACGTTCGTCGTTGCTTCAACGCAACAGTTGGACGAGTTCTGTTCTCGCCAGCGTAGTAGCGTTAGCTTGCGCTCAGCCCGACGTGCCCCAGTAATTTAGCGCTATTTCATTGCGCTTTATAGGGGTTGCCCCTTAACGACCTGCCGGGTGAAAAACTAGCTTAACGTCGCGTCTCCTGACAGCTTGCCAGCGGGCGAGGTGACCCCCTTTTTTTTTTTTTTACAACCTGGAAGTGTTCTTAAATTCCAACCAACACGTCAGCTATGTTAACCAACGTTGCACCTAGGCTGAACTTTTTCTCTCCTTTTTTTTTCTTCATTCCCTCCTCCTCTTTCTCCTCCTCCTCTTTCTCCTCCTCCTCCTCCCTCCCAGGGCTACACGTCTTTTTGGAACGACTGCATTTCCTCCGGTCTCCGCGGGTGTATGCTGGTGGAGCTGGCCCTCCGGGGGCGGCTGCAGCTGGAGGCCTGCGGCGTGAGGAGGAGAAGCCTGCTCTCCAGAAAGGTGATGTGATCACCGGGGGCGCGAACCCGCGTCCGGCCCGCCGCGGCTCAATGTTCCTTTTATGCAACACACTCTGATAGCCTTCGATGTTGTTTGCGTAAGCGGAGGGATTAGAAAGAGTCTTCTTACCATGCAGATTAATCTGCTAGCTAGTTTTTTTTTTCTTCTTAGAACAAACACAACGTTCCTTGCGATTTATGGGAATGCAAACCGATTCCTGTTTGCACAGGATGTGAGCGAAGGCGTGAGTGACAACTGCACATACGAGTAACTGCAGTTCAAATATGTGGCCTCTTTTGTTGTGCAAAGGTGATCTGCAAGTCTGACGCCCCGACGGGAGACGTGCTGCTGGACGAGGCCTTGAAGCACGTTAAGGAGACCCAGCCTCCAGAGACCGTACAGAGCTGGATAGAGCTGCTGAGCGGTGAGAGGACGCGCGGCGCCGCCGCATACTCGTCGTGCCACCTGTCGGACGTCATTTTGTTCTTGCTCTTGTGAGCGGTCACGGTTCAGTTGATGCCCGTTTCGCTAGTTCTCATTGATCGAAATCAGGATTTATGGGGATTGTGAAATAGTTAAAACACATTCTAACAATGAGCTTGAAGCGGCGGCGTTAACGCTATTCAAATAAACCCCAGGGAGCCACTTTAGACTGTGAGTGTGTTTTTCAAGTACCTAAAATAGATCTCGTGTTGTCCTAATAGGAGAGACCTGGAATCCCCTGAAGCTGCACTACCAGCTCAGGAATGTCAGAGAACGTTTGGCCAAAAACCTGGTTGAGAAAGGTGTGCTCACCACCGAGAAACAGAACTTCCTGCTTTTTGACATGACCACGCATCCGCTCACCAACAACACCATTAAACAGGTAAGGTGTGGGGTTGATGGGTAATCAAGACTGTTTGGATGTACAGTACGCAATGCTTCTTGTGCATGTAATGGCTTTAAAACACACGTCGACATCCCCTGCAGCGCCTCGTGAAGAAGGTCCAGGAATCCGTTTTGGAGAAGTGGGTCAACGATCCCCACCGCATGGACAAGCGGGTCCTGTCCCTGATCCTTCTGGCCCACTCGTCCGACGTTCTCGAGAACGCCTTCGCCCCGCTGCAGGACGACCAGTACGACCTGGGCATGAAGAGGGTCCACACTCTGCTGGAGCTGGAGCCGGAGAAGGAGAGCGCAAAGCCCAACGTCAACGAACTCATGTGGGCGGTGGTGGCCGCGTTTACTAAATGAAAAAAACGCCCCCCCCCCCCGATTGGTTGGACTGGAAGATCTGGCTACGGTCTGTTATTTAATTGGTTGAAGGACTTCACTTAATGAGACAGACTTCACTTTAATGAGACAATCTGTTTTGGCCGGGGAGCCTGTGTGTACATCTACTCCGGATGACGTTTTGGTGGCAGTCCTTATTAAGCGGGTGCAATCCGATTGGTGGTGGGCTTCACCGAGTAGCGTTCGGCTGGAGCGGTCTCTAAATAAAACGATGAGTGGGTGCTGTCACACAGTGGGGTATATTATCTGCCGCTGCCAGGCCGAGGACGTGCGAAGAATCGCCGGCACCACCAACCGATGGGTTTCCGTTCATGTTAGATGACATCAAAGAACAAAGGCAGGTGGCAGCGGTCGTCATGGTGATTATGAAGACTCTGACTGGGGCCAGGATTCCTTTCTAAGGGAACATCATCGCTAGCTTTCCACACGGTCGGGCCAGAATCAAATCCTGGTCTCTTCTGCATACCCCCCCCCCCTGCCTCCCCCCCTCTCCCCTCACATGCTTATGCAAGGATAAAGGATAGCAGATCCTGCTGCTGTTGATGCCCTTTGCACTCGCGCAGGTCTCCTGCTTCCAAAAGATTCTCCCCCACTGGTTGGGTTTGCGTCTTTTAGAGTTACTGTCCGATCAGACCGGAATCTTTCCTCCGCTCTTCCTCATTGCGTTTTGAGGAGGACACGGAGGACACCAATAAATACTTACTGGCCTGCAACACTACGAGTGAGCCGAGTAATTTGGCCCAAATGAAGAATTAAACCGTGAGTCTCACAAAGCTCTTCACTTATTGGTCGCAATGGGTCCATCCCGTGTTTACTACGAGATTAGTCTTCCATTTCTATTCATGTTGCTAACCGATGCATACAGTAGCCTTTCATTTATCAACTTATTTGCAGAGTCAATAGCGCTGTAGGAAGAATTGTCTTTTTACAGGATTTTTTGGGGGGGGTGAAAAGATTAAAAATGAAGAACCGTAGCGACCATGGTCGAGCAAAAAGTAAAAAAGAATACTTAAAAATCATTCCTGAGTTTATCCAATGAATAAATAAGCCAAGTGTGAGTCAAGATGGAAAAACAAATAGGCGGTCATATCTGTTCCTTCTTTTTTTTTTTTATCGCCTTTAACAGCTCACACGAGATTTACAGTAGGATCCTCAGCGGCTGCTCACACGACTGCTGGGAAATGTTCACGGAATTAAATAATGAATAACTTAGGGGAAAAGGGTCGATTCACCCAAGTTATAAAAAAGAAATACCCATTTTGGTATCGAGCCACGGAGGTAACTTTGGCTTTATTTATGTTGTGAAATGTCTTTAAGATATTTACCTCTTAAAATTGGTAAATGGAATTTCCTTTTCATGTTCGTCATCAGTAAAACAGAAGCAAAGTCTATTTTTTTTTTACTCCCCTAATTGCTAATCTTTGCTGTAGATTGTTTTCTAAGACGCACTTTGCACTAGAAACACCACCTCGATGACGTCTGCGATCTGCGTCTTCTGTGGCTTCGTTATAGACGTAGACCGAAGTGAAGTGAAACTACGTCTTTTTGTTTTTTGGGTGAAGCGACCCTTTGAAAGTCTCCCTGTTATGCTATGTAGTGTGTCGCTCAGCTTCTACGTCATAATTAGATGTTATTTCTAGCTGGTAGGCCCACGCGGGCGCGTTATATTGTTCGATACGTGCAGATCACAGGAGGGTTACTTGGGCCCCGGAGGGATTCCACGGTAAAGAACGAACCTGTTCCACCATATTCTTAAAAAAAAAAAACAACCTCCCCCAGGCGGGCTTCTGTGCAGACCTGGTTTCTGGTGTGTGGAGTTAAATGTGTGATGGGACTGTTCTGTTTTCTACCAGCGGAACAACAACTAGTGTGAAGAGGTGCTGAGATGCGTTCAGATGCATGCTGTCGGTGGAGGGCTGGGGTACTACAGAGAAAAAGGCTTATATGTAATCATTAGTTTATTTTATGTGTACGATCTAATGGAATTTAATGAAAGGGATCTTCTCTCCTATCCGCTATAATTCTGTATGCTTTTATATTACCACACAAAATAAAGTAAGGATCCTTTAAGTGCCTGAATTTAGCACCGATCTGCTGTTTTTATTCCAAATATATTATATACACACACATACAGTATGGATTTATTGAATCTGTTTTGTATTGATTTGATCTGTTGAATACTTAAATGTACCATTATATCAGAGCGTTAGGTGCTTTGTCTTTTGTTTTATCAGGTTCGTGCTGAGTTGGATCAGTCAGAAAACTGGTTTTATTTAAATTTATTAAGCACACATCAAACGTGCTTTTTTTCTTTTTTAGGTTGAAGTTTTGCCTTTTTGCCGTCACTGTAGTAGTGTGACTATTTTTGGACTTTTTTGAGGACGTTTCCTCATACTGATGTGAATTGTTTAGAGCTTTGAGAGATATGCTTATTCACTTCCCAGCATCAGCGATCAGCCGGGTGGATTTGCCGTAACGCGGTGAATGCACACAGTTAAAATCACATGACTTCTCAAACGTCCGATTGTAGATTAGTGTGGAGCAATGTTCACGCAGGAAGATCCCTGTCCATGGTGTCACAATCCCCATTTCTCATGAATACAGCAACCCTGCTTGTTTTTATCAAGCTATCTTAATATTAGATATTTATTTATATATTCATTATAATAAGATTTGTTTACTTTGAATTATTTTGTTCAATGAAATTGCATGAATTCCACACTTAATCCCAACATGGAATGTGCAATAAATGTATATTTACAGGTTCGTAGTCATTTAGGACATAATTCTACATATTTAGGGTGTCGGTCACATGGTGAGCTATGAAGTTGTTTGTGTAGTTGCATCCACATTATGTGCGCGTGTGAACTAGAGAGTGATACACGCATGAGTTCGGAAGATCGCAATTATTTTCAAAAACAGACATTCAAATATATCAATTTAATAAAGCAATAACGTCGCTTCTGTGCGTGTTATTGATTAATGCAACGGCGTTACGTTCAGATCACGGCGGAGGAGAGAACAGCAGACACAGCGACAGGCAGAGGAGGCACGACTCACTTTGTTTTTATTAAACGAGCAAACAGGATTTACATCTTTCCACTGACTAGTTCCCCGTGTTTCGGACGCCGTGTTCCCACATGTATTGACTTTACATCACAACGTATCGCAGAAGTCTGTTATGTAGAAAAAGGCTTACCCCCCCCTCTCATAATCCAAACTATTCGTAGCTAACATTCAACACCAAAGTTGGAAGTTCACGCGTCTGAGTCTCCATTCGACAGCTGACATGAATGCGACAATCTGAGCAGAAACATTCACATATATGTACAGCGTACATGTCTACAGCACACGTGTTTCAGCAGAGGACATCCGGTGTCCCATCTTCGGATCCGCTCACCCGAGGGTCTCCCCGGCGTCCCGCCGCGCGCACACACACTCTCTCTCTGTGCAAAGCTCCGGGGTGCAGGCCGACCTCGCTCCGCCGACAGGTCGCGTCTCGGGGTCTCCGTCCAGGTGTTTCCACCAGCTTCCTCCCCGCCGCTGTGGCCTCCGGCGTCGAGGGCCCCCCCCCCCCGAGAGTCCCCGGCGTTTCTGAATGCCATCCAGTTTAATAAAAATCCAATTTCCCTCTTCCACGTCCGCCCTTGGCGCCCCGTCTCACTTGATGTTATTTACGGTCTTGTAGTTCCTGATGAGTATTTGCAGCAGCCTGAATCTCCAGTAAAGGCCGTCGCCGACCTCACGGAGCTCGTGTGCGCACTCGTCAATTGTGGCGTCAAGATCTGAGGTGAAGAAGACACATGGGGGGGGGGGGGGTTTGAGTATCTTGGCCGTGACACGCCGACACTTTGTTAACGTTCTCTCAAAAAGCACATTCGGTTTTAAATCGGCTGAATCGAGACACTCACCCTGGGCCGCCATCGTCACCGCGCTTCTGTCTGCTCAGAAAAGAGAAGTGAAGCGCTGAAGGTTCGGCTTGTTTTTTTTCGCCTCTCTGTGTTCTCTCACAGCGCTGCGGTTGTGCCTTGACAAGAAGGAACAGGTTTGAACTATTGATAGTCAGACGGGTTTATATACACTGACTGACGTAGCTTTACGGGCGAGGAATCCCCGCCAACGCTCGCCAAGTTCCTCCCCCTTCTTGATACTGCTTCTCTTGTCTTCCTTGTGTCACTAGTTTTAGGTCCGCTGTGTACCTGTTTTCCACATGTAGGTCACAGCAAGTACCTGTCCATGTGTTTGTGGCAGACAGGTGGCCCTTTGTACCGGCACATGTAGAGAAGTACTGAGTGGATGGATTTCTTTATTATCGTGTACTAGTTTGAGCGGATTAGAAGTTCAGCTAAAAACATAAATGTGTATTTGCATAGATGGTGAAAGTAACTTTAGCTGCAGTGCGTCATACGAAGCAAGATATCACCACCCGTGCAGCAGACGGAGGCCGAACGTCCAGAACTAACTCACACTTATACAATGCGCCATAAAGATTTATCGTGCGAGCGGGATTTAAACGCACAACAACAGTGGACGGGCGTCCTAATGGGTCCCGATAGCGATAAGTCATTCAGACACAGCGGTTGTTATTCGGAAAGTAGAACACGGGCAACAACAGTAATTGTGTCGCTCGTAAACAGAAGTGAACAGTCATCGCAGTGTGAGTCATAGATTTTGTTTCATTTTAAATCCAAACCTGTTCAACAGACCACTAAGAACCACGACCGTGGAAGCAGGTGAGACCGTGTTCATGAGGTCAAATATCTGAATTCACTTTCACACTTTGGAGCAGGATACGGGGAGAGGTGCAGACAGCCTGAGCGAGTCGGGGCGAGCCTCTCTGCTTCCAGGAGAAACGGGGAAGTACCGAGGAAACTGCAGTCAGGTGATCTGCTGACGAATGAGGCGAAGCCGAGTGTTACGGACTGAGAGAAAGGAGGCTGTTGACGTTCCTACGAGGAGAAAGGGGGCCCGAAGGTACGCGGACGTTAATCCATAACGTCATTGAAATCTGCTATAAACGTACCATATGCAAGCACATGTCCTGTATATGAGATAATAAATACCTGTGGGTACAGACATTTTATAATCCGGCTATGTTGGATCGAACATAATGGAGCAAGTTGCAAAAAGGATCACATGTGCCATTAATAAGACTTTTTAGCCAAATGGTTTGACTGAATTAAAAGAAAGAATATATCCCATGCAAGGAGGAATACAAAAGTATAATAAGCTAAATAGGTATTAAAAGAAAAAGCACATCTCCCCTGTAACTGATACATGTGTCACGGATGGATCTGGTTTTTACTGCCACATTTGTTTTATTCCATTTCAACGTCGGATGATTCATGAGGGGGGAGAAATACGGAGTGGTTTCTCTGGGCTTTCCTATAATTCTTTAGTTCTTCCTTTTTGAATCTTAGACAATCTTGGATCTTCAGGTCGGAAACTTTTCTTTGAATCACACCATGTGAGTGGCGTAACTCTGAAGTTTACCAGGCTTCTGAACGAACCAGATACAAGCCAAAAAAAGGATGGATTTATTGAATCTGTTTTGTATTGATTTGATCTGTTAAATAGTTACATAATCCCTTATACAAAATAGCGTTAGGTGCTTTGTCTTTTGTTTTATCGGGTTCATGCTGAGTTGGATCAGTCAGAAAACTGGTTTTATTCAAATTTATTAAGCACACATCAAACATGCTTTTTTAAACTTTTTTAGGTTGAAGTTTTGCCGCCGTTTTGCCGTCAATGTAGAAGTGTGAATATTTTTGTACTTTCTTTGAGGATGTTTCCTCATACTGATGTGAATTGTTTAGATCTTTGAGATATATGCTTATTCACTTGCCAGCATCAGCGATCAGCCGGGTGAGTCGAAACACTGGTTCAATCTTAAACAAGTGTGACTTTTGATAATTTATAATGCACTTTGTATGTAAAACATACATAAGCAATGTAATTGATAGATAGATAGATACTCAGATCTTTATCAGATTTCCATAAAGCTGAGGAAAACACCCAATCTTTCTGATCACCTGTGAATATAGGTCAACTGGGCCAATGACGAACACATTTGGAAAAGGGCGTGAGCCTCCGCGCTGATAGCAGGTTCGTCTATGACGGCGTGCAGAGAGAAAGAGAGCGTGCATACCACACTGTACCTGCCGGTAAGGCTCAGGCACATGATCCTGCGGGTCACTTTGTGTTGTTGTTGAATGGAAAATATGTGTCAAAAAAAAGAAAGACAATTAGAACAATGAAAGCAAACTAGTGTTTGACTTTTTAACAGATTTTCTATAATGTGATGTTGCTACTTACACAAAATCTGAATGTTTTTTCCATCACAGAGAATACAACATTTTATTATATTTTGTGCGTGTGTTTGTTTTTTTACTTTATCACCTATGAACTCTGTACATACGTCCATCAATCACCAGAGGGCAGCACAGTGTGTAATAAATCAATATAATGTTGGCCGAATACAAAGAGTAAATATGTATATTATTTATCACCTTTTAAATATGCTAAGAATTGTAAACGGTTGAATTAAAATAAATATATTCTTGTCACTGTGATTAAATTGTTTAAAAAATACAAACGGTAATTAAATATTTTTTACTCAAATGAAAAAAAATCGGAGAGAAATGGCATTATTAATTAACATGTAGTCTAAATTATTCTAGATCATTCTTGACAGCGTGTTCTACGAAAACGTTGTCATGTTGTTATTGATACCTTTTTATTGGGTATCATTACTTTTTCCAGTTCAAGTCACCGCAACTGTAAAGGGTGGATGCAAACTGCACGCGCGTGCACAGCGACGGAAGGGTTTGTATTGGTCGCACTGCGCATGCGCGGAACCGGTGAGCGGCCCCTGTTGCTGCTGTGGCTTTAAGCCGCTCCGCTCACTTTCAGTCCGCCCGCAGACCTGCACTCACTGCCTTCCTGGAGTCTTTAACAGTTATGAAAGATCTACATTTTAAGGATTTCTTCTGGGTGAGTTCGTGTTTTCGGTTTGTTGCAGATCCCTACATGCAATATTCTTAGTAATACAGCTGTCGGATGAATGTAGTGGAGTAAAGAACAGTATTTAAAACGTATACAAAGGTAGTGGAGTAGGATTATGAAGTGACATTGAATGGAAATACTCAAGTAAAGAACAAGTACCTCAAATAAGTGCATCGCTTGTGTAAAAGTCCTTAGATACATTCCACCATTTGACACCTGTTAGGTGGGGATGATTACAGGCTGGCACCCTCAGCTTACCGAAATCATGGAGAAGTTCAAATCAAAACATCAATTTACATCTCTGTGTCAAAGACCTTAATATTCAAGTGTGCATTGATGTCTGCGCTGGCCGTTGTCTTGGGAACCTCACTGTGAGGCTCGTGACTGAGTTTAGACAGAGTCTGTGGTGTTATGATAGCAGGTGGTGCCCCTCGCGCCTGTCTTGAAGCAGCGATGTTCTAGCAACATGTATCTTTAAATTGTGATCTCTACAATTGAAGGAGATGATCACAATGATGTGTGGTCCGTGTCACTGACAGAACGCTGATCTGACCTGCACCGGTGGCTACGATGCAATCATCCAGTATCTCAATGATGGCAAGAGGACATGCAAGGAGGTGGAGGAGTTCATGAAGGCCAGGTACCGACCCACATCAAGACCACAATACGCTCCATTGGCCAAATCCTTGTGCACAAACAAGCACCCAATTTATAGTAAGAAAATAGACAAAGGGAAGCAAATAATTAGCAAAAAATAATTGTTTTGCATCAACAAATGTCAGTTTGACAGACCCACGGAAGAGAATGAGGGGAAGCTGAATGGTGAGGAAAGAGTTGGTGGTTTATTGGTGAAAGGAGTTGAGTAATATAACAAGAATGAGAACTCCTCAAGTGGAGGATGAAGAAATATTAACTACACTTGTATAAGATTAAATGTCTCTTGAAGCTGAAGTCGCTACGTGAATCGGAAGCAGGCTTTAGTGAAAATAAGGTAGACTCCCATGTTTTAACGGCATTTCTTCTTGCACGCAATTACATTGTGGTCAAAAAGAGTTTTAAGTCTCTTTGCAAAGGGGGAACTAATAAACTGTGAAGCATCACCAGGGACAACATTTCTATCTGAGTCATTCCAATTTGAATTTATATTTCCCCTTTTAATAACTAATCTTCCCCCTGAATAGGCAGCTAAAGCAACATACACCCACGCATTCTGTCTTTTTGCTTGTATTGAATTACGAGCCCAACAAAACACACAACAAATGCTTTATCATGAGAAGATATTTCGCAAAAACACAACTGGCAGTTCCCTTTTATGAGAATTAAAAGACACAAGAGTTCCCAAAATACACGCACAAAAAAACAGAACACACACCAGAACAATATTCAGTCATTTATCAAATGCAATATAAAAAATGAATTCACATATATCTTTACAGTATATATATTAATTTTAGATTTACAGAAAACCATATGAGGAAAACCATACGAGGAAAAATTCTAGAACCTGTTGATCAGGGACGTGTGGTGACACAAAAAGCCCCAGTGAGATATCGTCCCATCATTTTGAACATTTGCATCCAAACTGAATCATTTGCACACCTATTTGCACATTGCCCGCCGTCGGATTCATATGACCTCACGCTGTGTGTTGTCAGCAGTAATACAATGACCGGGTTGTAACGATGCATCTCCGCTGTCCCTTTTTGCACTGAACTTTCCTTTCAGGGCCACAGTTGAAGAGAAGTATGCCAAAGATCTGCTCGGTTTGTCCAAGAAGGTGTGTGGACACAACGAGATGAAGTAAGTGGTGAAGACGGTGATGTCATGTCTCTGACCACATCTATGTACAGCGAACCTGCGAAAAGGAAACAAATGAGCCCGTCTCTGCAGAACTGACTTTGATGCCTGTTTTTTTGGATGCAGAAAGCTGAAAGCAGGTTTAAAAAAGTGATTACTTACTCAATAATGTGGTTTTAGTCCGTCAGGCTGCGTGTGTGTTACGTGTTGTTTCGGATTCAGCTAGTCATGAATGTGTTTCGTCTAGCATTTCTCAACAAAAAGCCTGTGATGAAGTCTTGTTTAAAGCCTTTTCTAACCTACTCACTTATTCTTATCTAGGTCATATTTATTTAATTCATAAAAATGAATGTAACCTTATTAGGACAATACTGAAAAAGGGACACAACAATGAACAATTGTAGGCCTTAATTTGGCCTGTACGACCATAAAAAACGGTATTCAAAACGATTTTTTAAACTTTTCTTACGGATGAGCGGATGTTTTTTGCTTTTTAGTGTAAAACCCTTCTGTAACAATCCTTTCCTTTCCTTTTTAAGCACATTAAAACGATCCCTGGACATGTTGAAGCTACGTAAGTACTCGCCCCCACCACCCTATTTACAGCTGTTACAATGTAGTTTACAACTTCTGTTTTTCGCTCATCGCCCACACCGTGTTCTAACCATTGCAGAGACCGAACATGTGAGTCTATCACACTCACAACTGGCTCAGGGCATGAGGGACGAGGCCAAAAAACTGGAGGAATTCAGAGAAAAACAAAAAGAAGCCAGGAAAAAGGTCGGCGCTTTAATCGGCGTTGGGATGAGACCTCGGCATCTTTCAAGGTTGTTGACAAGTCGCAACGTTGTCATTTCAGATGGAGCAACATATGGAGTTCTTCCACAAACAGAAGTCTTCACATTTCAAGAGGACAATGGATGTGAGTATTGAAAAGCAGCGTAAGTTAGTTACTTCAAGGGACGCCTTTCAGAGGCCCCCCCCCCATAACTTTTTATTCATTCTTCTAGGTGCTGTATTATCAATAAGTAAAGCATTAACGATCAACATTAATTCGCCTACCAACCAAGGATGTGTGTAGTTTCATTCCACTCGTGGTTTGTATGAAAGAAGTTTCAGCTTTGCGGTGAGAAACGGTGGCAATAAATGTAGGCCTTCCCTGTTCTTAAGCTTTGGATGAGGAAGTTACGTTTGTGTTGACCACTGATAACTGAGGCCTCTTTTTTATATCAATCAAATCTATTGGCAGAAGAAGAAGTGCAACATTTGAATGGTAATGCCACGAGGGCCGACCGCCGACCGCTGCGTTGGTGTTGCTGTCTTTCGTAGCTAATTTCATCCACCTTTCGCCCCTTTACGTAATGTGTGTTTAAACGGTTTACGATTCACTAAAAGGTGTCGACGCCTTCCGCAGTCAAAGAAGACGTACGATCAGAAATGCCGAGATAAAGAAGAAGCGGATCAGAACATGAATCGAAACGCCAACACCAACAACACCAAGCAAATAGACAAGGTACTGTGGGGATAGATTTGCTTTATCTGCCTTAGAATATAATATAAGGGATTTTGTGTTAGAGATTGGTGCTTAAACCTTAAATACACTACAAAAGTATAAAGATACACAGTAGAATTTTAAAAACCAACAAACAAGTAAAGTAAGAATATGTTTTAATATTTTTAATGTTTAATTGGGTTTAATAAAAACCCAAATTAAGACCTGCAATTAAATTAAATAAAAATGAAAATAATTATTATAGATGACAAAAAAAGAGGCGCAATCTCAAACCTGAACACGTCAGCACGTATTCACGGGGCCGAGTGCTGTTATTATTAAAGTTATTATTCCTAACTTTGTTCTCAATCTGATCGTATATAATTAGCTTCTTCTAAAATTGCTTAAAGAATGCAGGTTTTATCCCCGTCCCTCAGACTTCCTCTATGCACCGTGCCAATCAGTTTATCTACGCATGAGAGGCACCCGATCGATGGCACCCATGTGACCGTATGTCCTGTTTGCTGCTTGTTTACTTCACGCTGTTCTTCGTGTGCGATCTTTCAGCTCTACTCAAAGGCGCAGAGCGCAAAACAGACTGCAGAAGAAGCAGGTGCGTTTGCAGAGAAATAACCTGGAGACCTTCAGCACACCAAGCATTGGGTGCTTGGATGATGTTCAGTGATATTTTTGTAAATCCCACAAACCAGCTGATTTGACTGTGGTGTAGCGCCGTCGCTGTGATTATTTGCGATGTATTTATTGAATTGGCAGACCGGGGGTACCATCAGAACGTGACCGTAATGGAATCCATTAGAGACGAATGGCTGACGGAACACGTCACAGCCTGTGAGGTGAGACTTTTGGTTGGATCCCAAAGGCTTGAGTGTAAAAAAAACAAAAAACAAAAAACACACACGCCGCAAATCGTCAAACTCCTTCTGCTGCTTTTTCCCCTCAGATGTTCGAGAAACAGGCAACGGAGCGCATCGTCTTTCTGAGGAACGCGGTGTGGACTCACCTCAACCAGCTCTCCCAGCAGTGTGTGACCAGTGATGAGGTAAAGCCCACTGGTGCAGCGACTTTACGGCTGCTGCCTGCAGCATTTAAACTGCACGGTCGGTATTCAAGAGCCAGATGTTTGTTTGTTTGTTGACTTGATCTTTTCCTGTCTCTGTGTGGACGTGCGTGTGTGCAAAGCTGTATGAGGAAGTGAGGAAGTCACTGGAGCAGTGTGATGTCCAGGAAGATATCGGACACATGATTAACCTCAGGCGCACCGGAGACAAACCACCAGGTATCAATTCAGTCTCTATTCACGATCGTTCGGACGAGCGTTTGTTCCGTGTGTGAAAGTCCGTCCTCTCCAAACAGCTCCAGTTGTGTATGACAACTTCTACAGTGGCCAGAGGCCTCCGGCTGTAGCGTCGCCCCCTCGACTGCCTCCACCAATCAGCAGGTACGCATCCGTCCATTCAGTATTCACGACCACTGCTTCAGACGCCCTGAATCGATTTGATGCTTCCCTCGTTGTGTGAATTTTCAGGAGGGGGCCTCTTCCAGAACCCACAAACAGCCGCGAGGGTACGTGTGTGTTCGCGTTTATTTAAATGCCGCTTGAGTCATATAGTGAAGACTACACAATGAACATGATCACCAGTTCAGTGTGCATCAAACAAAAGGCAGTTTCAGGCGTCGGATCGGAGTTTGTCATCTGGTTCGTTTCTTCGCGCTTCTGCTTTTGGTAAGCCAACCAGTGAAGGATGTTTTCTGGGATTGCAGATACAATCTACTCGACGGTGCAGGATTCCGTGTACAGTGTTATCCATTACTGAGATGCACATCCGCTGGAGAAGAGAATGGTCACATCGTCCCACCACCTCCTCCTCCTTTGGGGTTTCTTGTAATGATGATGTCGCCCCAGATGGAAATGAGGGTCATTTCTACGTAGGTACATGTTTTTAGATGAGGTTTTGTGGTGTTTTATATATATATATATATATATATATCACAGTTTATATATAAAACACAGAGAACAGTGAATACATTGGTTTGTACTTAGGTCACTTCTTGTATAATATACAAAAATGTACAGTTGTCTGTTCACAAGGCCTTTGTAGGTCTATGTACTCTGCTTGTGATCTTGCTTGCATTTTTCTTTTTTGTTTGGGATGCAGAGCATTTGTTGTATTGTTGTAGCAGTTTTGTATTTATTTTTTGTGGAGCAACACTTTTCTCAAATTTTAAATAGAGATTCACAAAATAAGATCCGCTTACTTGTTTTCATTTCTGCTTGGGATTGAGAGTAGAGTCAGCTGACTGAAAGCTCGTGGTGGATTACCAAACATCCACGCCTCCTCTTTATTATAGAGAGAACTTTAGGACTTTTATCCATCTCACAATAAAAGATTCAGATAAAAATGTGCACATCTTTATTTGACAACATCATTTTCTATGTTTTGGCCACAAAATTCCACATAGTTTTTCTTGCATCTCATGTGATTACAGTCCTCCTCAATGTGAGTAACAGTTCTCTGTAGGCGTCTGTTCATCTTCAGCATGTCCACATCTGTCTGCAGGCGTTCATTAGGAGCCTCAATACCAGGTGTTCGATGGTGTAAAGGAAAGATATATTCTTCAGATCCGACGTCACTCTGATTTAATCAGGTCCAGAATCATATGGATGGTCTTCTCCCCTACAGGACACATGATGAAATAAGCTGCTTAGCCGTGTCTTTGTCAGCGCATTGAACAGAACCGCGCGCGTTTACCTTCAAGGCTCATCCTCGGATTCTCCAGCTTCCTCTCCAGCAGCGAGTCCATCAGCTTCCTCAGGTGTTTGAAGATCACACCGATCCGTACGGGAGCCTTTGAGCAAAAAGACGGATCCATTCACTTGGTCACTAACTAAGTCAAGTACGGCTCGGACAACGAGCAGCCCCGGTGACCTCTCACCTGGAAGAGGATCCATCCATCCACTGAGATGAGCCTTTCTCTGTGCTGGATATCGATGTCGCCTCCGAACAGCAGCACGGGGAAAGGGGAGATCAGGGAGGTGTCTCGCAGGTAGATCTTACCGTATTTCACCTGCGGATTGACGGCAATTAGCACACACGGTGGACTCGGAGAGGCACCGAAGACGCCGCGCCCTCGTCCCCCGTACCTTCTCCTGGTACAGCAGCCAGCCGTGCGTCTGCAGGTTGCGGTTCACGGACGAGGGGTGGACCTGAGCCTTGCCCTGGGGCGTCTCCACCGTGCAGACCACTCGCTCCAGCACGTCCACGGAGGGGGTGCAGAGGACGCGGGCCACGCTGTCGTAGAGCCCCGCCGTCAGCACCGCGTTCAGGACGGAGATCTGGTGCTTGGACAGCGCCGCCGCCGCCGCTTGGGGCTTGGAGCGAGACGACCAAAAACCCGCCTGCTCCATCATCCTCATCAGCTCGTGCTTCACACTCTGAATAGAAGACGGGTCACACACACACACACACACACACATAGGGTCAGACAGGAGGTCAATTTAGATTATTGATCATCCAAATGTGTGCGTTACCTCTATTGTAACGAGAGCTGTGCGATTGAGGAAGTGTTGTCTACAGAAACACATTTCTGCTCTTTGTCCGTCCGTCTGGGAGTTCTTCCACCTGGTGGCGTGACAGGAAAATCACAAGGGGAGAATTTCAGACTGATCCCCGAAGTTATTTGTTTCCTTTTTGTGTGAAAGATTTGGCAATGGGAGTTTTTTTCCTACGGGAGCAGCTTCCTGATGCAGGTTATTCCCCCATTTCTGTTACCAGACTATTTCAGACCTCATAAATACCAATAAATAGTTATAGATATTTTTAATCTATTAAAAGTTTATCATATTCTGACCCTACTTCCCAGTTGTACACACAAACCATTTCTAGCAATATAGCTAATAGAATAATTGGAGTTCCTACCCCAGATATGCGTTGTATATGGTCAGGTGATCAGAGTTGGCCAATGCCAGGGCGGCTTTTGCCAGGTTGGCTTCCTCCTTCCTGTTCATGGGTGTGGAGAAGGGAGATTTCTCCGAGATGGCCGCCGCGATGGTTGCCTGAAACAAACCTCTCAATAAGCAAGTCATTTACGGCCTTGTATGTACAGAGAGCTCTAAAGGAAGAACCGGGGACGTACTATGGGCTCCAGGCAGCCGAGGATGGCTCCGTAGATCAGCATCTTGCCGATCTTCACGTTGACCGGCAGACCCGCCAGGTGGTGTCCCAGAGGGGTGAGCAGGTGGTTGTCGGGGCGACAGGCGCCGATCTTCCTCAGCAGGTTGACGGCGTTGCTGACCGACTGGGGCTGAGGGGCATCGAGGGCCCGGCTCAGGAACTCCTCCGGGGAGCCGTACTGGCATTTCTACTCGGAGAGAGCGTGGAGGAAAGGACGCCTTAAGCCCCTTTGCGGGGTTTTTGATTTCTGTGTCTGTGCGACTGGGTTTGGGTTCTGTACCATGATGTGAAGGCAGAGCTCCTCCAGCGGGACTCGCAGTATCTCCGGAATGGAGTATTCCATGAAGGCGTCGAACCTGAGGTCACAGGGGGTCAAACCAGAGCAGAACAGATCAGCACTTTCTTAATGCGTATTGGTCGTTCTCTTCAAAACGACTGACGACCTCCGTACCGGAACTTCGGGTAGAGCCTGAAGCAGAAGCCGTTTTGGACTCGTCCCGCTCGGCCCTGCCTCTGCAGGGCGCTCGCTTTGGAAACAAACGTTTCCACCAGGGAGCTCATCTGGCTGCTCTCGTGGTACCTGCGCAACACATGTCAGCGTTCACATTTACAATCTGTTCTAACTTAACAGAAGGTTGAGTAATATCAACACTCTCTCTGTCGTTCCTGAGGCCTTACTTGTTTTCTTTAGTCTTTCCGGTGTCGATGACGAACACCACGTCGGGAATAGTCACGCCCGTCTCGGCGATGTTGGTAGACAAGACAATCTAAAGGAGACACAGCGGATCAACGACTACATTTGTTCAGCTATTAATTTAAGATAAATATAATTGGTTTTATTCCAAGATTATTTCAACAGAAATGCAGCTCTTTCTTTTCTTTTCTTGAACGTGAACTCGACTCAATTGTTCCATCTTCCTATTTCTCAACGCTTCATCACAGCACATTTAGAAGTACCTTCCTGGATCCAGCCGGTGGCACCGTGAAGGCAGCAGCCTGGTCCTTGGATGAGAGGGTGGAGTGCAGCGCGACGATCCTGTACCTACAACACCCCATCAGAGGTGGTTTACAGAGGGCCCCCGACATCTGTGCGCTTCACCGCTCTGAGTCACATGGTGGACTACACCGGCCCGCGTATGTCACCTGTTTTTGTCCCTGAACCTCTTGTCCGAGGTGAGCAGGTCGTGGAGCTGCTGGATGTGAGCCAGGCCCGGCAGAAACACGAGGACGGCGCCGTCCAGCCTCGCAAACTGTGGCGATTTGTCTGGACAGAGTGCGAAAAAGGCCGGAATGTGACAGAGGGCAGGCGGCAGCGTGTCCTGAAACGAGCCGGATCACGTGTTGTACCTAGATAGTCGATGAGGTCAACCAGTAAGTCCATGTTGATCTTATTCGGGTTCATGTACTGCAACACCTGCCGAGTCCTGCTGCTGAAGTGGTCTAGATCTGGACCCAGATCCCAGCCGGAAGAGGGGTCCCTCAATATCACCTCCTGGAACAGACGCAGTAACAGGTAACGTGCACGGATTCCACTCCACCGCCACGTGTATACTGCGTTACTGCTGCGGGGAGCCGACGTTACCTGGTGCTGGGCGGTCCTGCCCCCCTTCTGTGAGATAGAGATGCTGACCTCCTCCTCGTCTTCAAGGATTTTCTGGCTGTACTCGGAGTCCTTTTCCAGGACGTAGCCCGTCTGCTCCACTATATCTTCCAAGTGGAACACCTAAAAAAAAACAGCAACAACAAAAGATTGAATCCTGCGTCTCCTGCAAAAGCCCTTTAAATACATCTGTGGAAGGATTTCGTGCAAAAATAGATCTTATCGCTAACATCCACTTCAATGTAGGAAATGAAACCGTTGAATTACGCATACGAGTAGACGCGAGCTGCTCTTACCTCCACGGGGAAAGTCCTCCCGGGAATGTTGATGACCGGGCAGCGGTTGAAGTAGTTGGAGAACTTGCAGCAGTCCACCGTGGCGCTCATGAGGATCAGCTGCAGGTCCGATCTTCTCATGACGACATCTTTCAGGATGGTTAACAGGAAGTCTGACTGGACGCTGCGCTCGTGGACCTGAGGGGATGGAGGTGAAGAGGTGGGGGTGAAATAACCTGGACCTTCAGTCGACATTACAAATAATCACCACGTTTGAAGGGGGGACACCTTCATTACCGCCAGTACCTCGTCTACGATGATGTGCGTCAGGGAGCTGAGGTGTCGGTCATGCTGCAACTTCCTGAGCAGGACCCCGGTGGTGCAGTACAGCAAGCGGGTCCACTCCCCGGACTCATTCTCCATGCGGATCTGGTACCCACACAGCGACGACTGCAACGCAAAACACGGAACCCGCCGATTCAAAGCACGGTCGACGGAGCGTCCCAAGCTAAGCTACCAGGGGGGAAAAAAAAGCACTTTCACCTTTGACCCCGGTCCGTCCTCGCAGCCCATCTCCTGGCTGACCCGGCAGGCCAGGCTCATGGCGGAGATCCTGCGGGGCTGCGTCACCACGATGTTGCACGGCTTTGCCACTTTGCCTCCGGTTAACATCTCCTCCAGGAGGAACTGGGGGATCTGGGTGCTCTTTCCGCTGCCCGTCTCCCCGGCCACCACCACCACCGGGTGGCGCTGCAGAGCCTCCAGGACGCGATGCCGATGCTGGAAGACGGGGAGCTGCTCTCGCTGTGCCTTGAAGGTTGAGTCGCTTGGGTTCAGTTCATGCATCTTCCAGGTGAAAATATCTTTTATTGTGGTAAGGCAAAATGCTCGTGTGTTTGTACCTTCAGTTTGTGGGCCAGCGGGGACTTCTTCAGCTTCATTAAGAGCTCTCTGGACGCCTCAAGTGCCCCTTCTGCCCTCGCTCTTTTCTCGCTCCTGTCCTCCAGTTCTTCCCCTCCCTCCACAATATCAAGACCGGCCAGGTTCTCCCAGGACTCTTCGGGTTCTTCATCCCCAGCACTGCCCTGCCCACGCTGGCCCTGGGAGCCCACCTCCGGGACTGACGGGTGCTGGTTCTGCTGCTGCTGTTTGAGTCTAGTCAGAAGCCGGGAGATGAACTGGTCTCGAGGCTTGTTGGCGGCGGTGCGACTCTCTTCCTGTTGGTGCTGCTCGCTGTCCCTCCACTCCAGCCACACATCTCTGTAGGTTGGAGGGAGGAGCTGGTGCACGGACTGGGGAGGGAACGATTCAGACGGATGGCGGTTACTACGGGAGGGGGGGGGGGGGAATAAACTCGGGCCTGGTTACATGCATTACCTGTCCTTTAACCAGGGTGTAGAGTGCCAGTGTGGCTGCCAGATGTTGGGCCTGCATGCTGTCCTCCGTCAAGATCGTTGGACAGACTTCAAGAACGTCTTCGGTTCTCTGCACACGCACCCTGTGGGACGCGAAGACAGCACATCAACACCAGTCACGTTCCGAGATGCAGCTATACACCGATTTGAAATAGCACCGCGGTCTGCTGCGACTCCGCGCTCACTTGGATCTCCAGTATCTTCCGGCAGCAACCTTGTGAAACGCCGGCGCTGGACTCTTGGGCAGGTTCTTTCGCACCCAGTCGATGAGGAACTGTTTGGGAGACTTTCCTGTCCAGCTGCGAGCTGTGTAGTCAAAATTACGGATGTCCTTTGGCTCATTCTTTTTCGGCACTGGAGGAAAGGGAAAAATGTCATTTGAAATGATTCAAATGACTCCACAGGGATGTGAGTCTGATGGTTTGGTACAGCAGTTTGTTACATACAAATTCATATGGCTTTGTTGTTAAAAACCCATGTTTATGTTAATGTCCATACAACATCTAAATGAGTGGTAGTTAACAGCATATTGGGCTTGAATTACCAGTTGAACCACAGCATGTTTAATGTTTACTACAGCCCGGCTCGGCTGGTGCTCACGTGCGAGATGCAAACCTTTTGCGGCAGGAGGGGGCTTTTCAGTTTGCTCAAATAAGTTGAAGTTGGCATCCCCTTTGTTCTCGCTGACAGGAAGGGTCTTCTTCTCCTTCTGAGGCACGTCGACCACCTTGATAGCTGGATTGAACACAGGGTGGGACTCCAGCGGCTTCATTTCTGGGGGGGAAAAAAAAGGATAACACGTGTGTTCTAAGTGTAAAATAGTTTAGTCCTGGCACTTAATGGTTAGAGCCCGCTCACCTTGCTGGATGATGCGTATGCGGTCCTGCGCCATCCTCTGGCCCGCCTTATCTCCTTTTGCCTTGGTAGTCGCTGCCATTTCTTTTGCGTCATACAATTGAGCAGTAAGAGCCAAATACCTGTCATTCTATACAAGAAATAACAGGCATGTTTACTGCACTGTGCAGCATTTACTACCTTAACACCACTTAGCTTAGCAGCACAGTGAATTATTAAATCAATTAATCATTTGAAAAGTGTTACTTACTGGATCAAACTTTTCCTCTAGTTCAGGATTGTGTGTCTTCTTCCCGACTTCCTCCTCCTCTTCCTCGTCACTGCTCTGCTCTGCATACCTTAAGATCCAATCCTTCATGCTGGCAGCGTCGTCCTTCTCCGTCACCTGAAAACACAGGACTTTCATTCAGCGTTTCGGCGGGCATCTTTTTATCCAGCTTACGCTTGCGACTAGACAAAGCGACCTTGGCGGGCTCCCTGCGGTGCTCGCTGGGTGCTTTGGGGCTCGGGGGTGCAGGTTTCTCCTGAACCAGAGGCTGGAACCTGGGCCTGCTCCTCTGACTCTCCTCCTGCATCTGCTGGGTAAAACCTTCCGGCAGCTCCTCTGGTGAAGAGACAACACACGAGGAAAGTCACGCTTTTAACAGCCCCCCCCCGTGTCCACAAGGGCGTCATGCCGACGACAGCCGAGGCTCCGTTACCATCTCTGAGGTTGAGGCAGAGCCAGTCGAGAGCAGAGTGCAGATCCCCTCCGTACAGCACGCTGCTCTTCATCGCCTCCTCAATGTGCTCTCTCTTGAAGTTGAACTTCTGCAGGGCTGTGTAGAGGTCCTGCACGCACAAACACGACAAGATGAAACAGATCTGTACACGTGAGGTTCAATCCGGATTAGAGGGATGATTTTGTTTTTTTACCAGCAACTTTTTGTTGGTAAGTCTCCCGGATATGGGCCCTTTGTCCCCATTCTCCTCTCTGAAGTCGTTGATCAGCTTGATGATCTTCTTCTCTAGTTCAGCTTGGATAGCAACCTGTTTTAAAGGGTAAAACCACATTCTTCATCAACGTTTTAAAATGGATTATTATGTCGGCAAGAACAGGTCACAGCAGCGACGTTTACTTGGCACTGAGAGAGATCAAGCACGCAGTGATGTCACTGAAACGACTTACTTTAAGAATGGACTTGTCTGTGACTCCCCCCGTGTCAACCTGGGAAGTGTTGGCAAGACTGTAGGTCTTTGGAGCTGGAAAGACACGGGGAAAAACGGAATTGTGCCACTTTAAAAGCAACATATTTTAAGGATTCAATAAGCTTAATTTCATTACACACACAAACACACTCTCGTCCTAATTATGCTGTACAAGGATACAAATATGCTTTCAATGTATCTCAAGATTGACTGATTAACAGTAGCAGGTAACTGTCCATCACAAGTGTCCCGAGCCCCATTAGTTTGTTTAATAGCATGACAAGCTGTCACTGTGTTACACTACATAATAGGAGATGAAGAAAGGCAAGAGAGGGCCAAGTATGGAAATCTACCCTGAAAGCTGTTGGTGTTTTACTTTACACTGTGATCACAATGAGCCAAGCTTGAGGTCCTGATGCAAAAGGTGTTACAGTGGAATATGCACCCCTGAAGACTAATATATATACCATTACAACACATGCGTGGTTATGTCACCGCATACAGGGCTGAACCGATCGGTTCTACGGCCCCGTTTCTCTGCGGTGTTTTCCCCCCCCACGGACTATGAAACCAGCAGCCAAGCACCGCTACCTTTAGACTTGTTGTCTTTGGCTGGTTTGGCCGGCTTGTTGTTGTTGGCTGGCTGTTTCTTCGGCTCTTCCGCCGGCGCAGCACCAGTCCTGCCCGCCGCCGCTGCCGCTGATGATGATGATGATGATGATGGGGCCATGGCAGCAGCCGCCGCTTGCACCGCCGATTTCTTCTTCTTCCCACCCATTCGATCCCGGAAACACCGCCTGTGCGCGGCTCTTCTATGCGTCGATGCGGCACCGGGTCATCGGCGAAAGTCCAGATGTTTTTGAGTGGATAGCTTACACACACACAAAAATAAATAAAAAGCGCTAACGTGTGTTTCTTTCCGTGATAACGTCCGGCTGGTTGGCGGTGAGTTTTGCGCAACCCGGCTGCCGTAACCGGAAGTGTCGCTGGAGCTCAAACCACGTGTTGTATTGTGGGAAGTGTGCCTAACAATCATGGCGGACGCCTTTGGAGACAGCTTGTTCAGCGTGTTTGACGATGAACAACAAACCACCGCGAGTAAAAAGACACCCGCTTCGCTGACACCCGAAATCGAGTAAATATTGTTTTGCTAAATAATGTCGTTGTATGAAATGAGGAGGTTAAATGCCCTGGGAACGTCACTTAACCTAACGCTAACGTACGCCAGTTAGCTAGCTTTAACGTTGTTAAACGACAGTTAGCTGGTTAATATGACGTTAACACCGAATTAAGCAGCTGCTGGTTCTCACAATGCTGAATGATTGTTTTAGTTAAAACCGCGTTAGTAAATACTCAACATTTTGTGTCAGGCTTATTCAAAGTTCCATCATGCTAGCTAGCGTTAGCTTCACTGCTAACGTTAATCCAATATTAGAGCTCGGGTAACAACAGCTCGTGTGTGTTTTTTTAAAACTTTTTCTAGGAAAGTTGAAAATAAAAATGACACCGACATGGATACTGCGCCGTCCGGCCCGAACAAGAGGGAGGCTGATAGTGACGGTGGAGAGGAGATGGGGTTTTCGAAGAAACCGCGACACGACACCATTTCCGAGCTAAAGTGAGATGAGTTAACGTTGGAATCTTTATACTGTTTCCTACGGTGCTGTTGTACATTTAACTGATAAAAAGTAAAACGTTTTATTTACTTCAGTCTTTCAGAGGTTATGCCCCAAGTGAAGGTGGAGCAAGTCGAAACCGTGGAATTCCTTTATAGCCAAACGTGAAGTTACGTGAATCGAAGCTGCGTAGTAATGGACGGAGACGCTCGTCGGTGACGTCAGATGCTTCATGTGTTGTTAGTGTGAGTCGTAAAGGAAAACTTTATTAAACGAGCGATGCTAACGGTTAGTCACATGATCACCTGCGCGAAAGAGGGCAGGAAACTGAATTTCACCCTCCTGCTCTCTGCACCTCGGCCGACACACACGACGCGCCCCCCATGTCAGTCACATGCATGCCACGTTCACTGGACAAGCACACAGTAGGAAACCAGAACATCATAACATGTCCCACACAGCAGCTGACAGTGGGGTTACAGTATAAAACTTGCGGGCCGCACTAACATTACACTTTCATATTAAGGATGGGGCCACAAAATATCGTCCCGAGGGCCGCAATTGGCCCGCGGGCCGCGAGTTTGAGACCCCTGATTTAGACGATATTGTGCGTTGTTTACTTCTTGGATAACAACGGGCTGGCATATCACCTGGATGTTTATTTTTCTCGTTCTCGCGTGTCTTTCAGGAGTACCCCTTCGTTCTTGACCCGTTCCAGCGCGAAGCCATCTTATGTCTCGACAACAACGAGTCTGTGCTCGTGTCTGCACACACCTCTGCTGGCAAGACCGTCTGCGCTGAGTGAGCATCTCTGCCAGTGTTGTTAAAAATGAATATCTTGCTGTACTGGTGAACTTGTCTGGATTCCAACCATATTGTTGGGTGCACAGAAAATATGACGTTCGATTTGCATCGAGATATGAAATTGTTAGTCAAATGTAATGTGCTGCTCTCACCCTTCATCTAATGCAGGTGAAAACAACTGCTGTGACATTATCATTAATGGCTGAATATAACTGTGGAGGCCCGAGTTGACAGCCGCCATAATTGTTGTGTTTACCTATTGATCTGACTTACTTTCAGCTGCAGGCAGTCAACAACGGTCGTGTCTATTAACCTCTTATGTCCTGCGCTTGCAGATACGCCATTGCACTGGCCCTCAGAGAGAAACAGAGGGTGATCTTCACCAGCCCCATCAAAGCTCTCTCCAACCAGAAGTACAGAGAAATGTACGAAGAGTTCCAGGACGTGGGGCTGATGACCGGTGACGTCACCATAAACCCCACCGCCTCCTGCCTCGTCATGACAACCGAGGTAAGAGGTCACCTTTAATGAGACGAGAGCACCGCAGGCTGAGTGTGCAACTGCAGGAGTAGAAGCGTCACTGAGAGGTTGCATTAAAAAGATAAACCGTTTTCTTTTTTTCTGCAGATCCTAAGGAGCATGCTGTACCGGGGCTCTGAGATCATGAGGGAGGTGGCGTGGGTCGTCTTCGACGAGATCCATTACATGAGAGATGCGGGTGAGTGCGGAATACAGAAGCCTCAGGGTGTGCATGCAGGTCCCTGCCCAGCAACACGTTGTTCTGCATCACATCACGTACTGTGACTTCAAGGAGGAGAGAGAGCTTTGAGCTACAGCGGAATATTTTGGAATTTTTTTTTTTAGTCTCCAAATACTGCTGCCGCTACTGAACTGGTGATTTTTTTTTTGTGTCTTTTATAAATTATGAAATCGAAGTCCCGTTGTGTAAAATTGTACTTTTTACTCTATAGTAACATTTTTGTGGATGACATTTGCCCAAAAACTCAGCTGTACATTTTTTATATGACCATTTTAGAGGATGAAACAAGCAGTTTAGATTAAGCTTGCACACTTTAAAACACTAGATATGTCTTTAAACAATCATGTGAGTAAACATGGCCGGCAAAAGTTATATGAAAACAACAATAATTAATGCCTCCGGTGTCTTTCAGAGCGCGGTGTGGTTTGGGAGGAAACCATCATTCTTCTTCCTGACAATGTGCATTACGTCTTCCTGTCGGCCACAATCCCCAATGCCAGGCAGTTTGCAGAGTGGATTACGCACTTGCACAAACAGGTGGGATGTTGAACTGGAATATACTATTCTTATTAATAATAATAATAATAATAATCAGGAAACATTTATTGCCAAAATATGTCATATATACAAGATATTTGACTTGGCGGTTGGTGCGTAACAGTAGACAACAAGTGCACAAGTAATAAAAATAAAATGAAATGCTAACGCTATGGGTTAGTAGAATAAGGCTATGGGTTAGTTTAAAATCAGAATAACAATAACTAATAATATTTTCGTAAGAGTTACACAAATACGTCACTCACGAAATGGCCATTTGTATCAATCAATTATTAACTTAATGATCTTAAATGATTAAATAGACAACTTGGAAGGACTGAGGATAGAAGTAAATAAATGAGACCTGGTTTATACTCTATGGGTTGTGTGAACTATGAAAAGGCATGTTTAGATTTGGTTAAGCGGCTACCTGGCCTCCATTTACTTGAATTCATTGTGGATTTAGTAATTTTGGGGCCAATTTGTTCACCATGTAGACGTTAGAAACCACCAATTCTTGTTCCAAGAATTTATCATGTGGCGTGTGATTAATATACAAATGATGGACAAAGTATTGCTTTTAAATTACCTCCTCCTGTATGAAATATGACTACGAAGCATCAGGTTAACATTTCAACGTGTGTTTTCTTCATTTTGTTCCATTATTAACGTGTTTCTGTCTCATGTCTGTTCAGCCGTGCCATGTCGTCTACACAGACTACCGTCCCACTCCACTGCAGCACTACATCTTTCCAGCAGGAGGCGATGGACTCCACCTGGTTGTTGATGAGAACGTACGGGCACCTACAAACTGATTTATTTATTTTTTTCTGATCTGGTCCTAAACCGGCACACCTGGTCTCGTGTTTGTCTCTTCATTTTGGATGCATAACATCTGTGTTTCTTTTCTGTTCTTCAGGGAGATTTTAGAGAGGACAATTTCAACTCTGCCATGAAGGTGCTGAGAGACGCAGGGGATTCTGGGGGCAGTGCAGGGGGCAAGTGGGACCCCAGAGGGCGGAAATTAGCCACTAAAGGTGTGTGTGTGTCAGCTTCATAAGAAGGAAATCTGTAAATATCTGAGTCATTCATTCACCTATACTCTCATCTATCTATGATCGCCTCAGGGCCGTCCAATGTGTTCAAGATCGTAAAGATGATCATGGAGAGAAACTTCCAGCCCGTCATCATTTTCAGCTTCAGCAAGAAGGAATGTGAGGCCTACGCGCTGCAGGTGGCCAAGCTGGACTTCAACAGAGGTACGTTTATTAGTGCCGCCATTCAGCAAAGATGTGCTTTAGTTTGAGGAGAAGTCCCAGCAGTCTCTCACACTTGGATGGGTTCTAGTGATGGAGGTGCAACAATAAGTTGATCTGTTCTTGAATTCGGCAAGTATTTTTATGGTTATGGTATCTTTTTTTGGGAATTTGTTCTTTGGTAACATTTTTATCAGACTAAAGACCATTTTACTTGATTGAGGAAGAACATCAAAATAAGAATCTGATTTGTGAATGAGTAATTACTGAATTAACATGTTTGTTTCAAGACATTCAAGTCCTCCTAACAGAAAAAGCTACATGCCCCTTTTCCCCCTAGCAGCATCAAATGACCAAACTGTTTTGTTTCTGCCACTTAAACACTTACAGGAACCAATTCTCCCCCTCAAACTGTTTGGAAGCCAGATTGTTTAACAGCATGTTTGCAGGCAGGTTGTTGTTGTTATGGAGTTCCTTTGTTTGAGTGCGTAGGAGGGTCATCGTGGCTCGCGCCTCTTTTACCCTTTCTCCTTTGTGCTCCCTTTCTTCCTCCCTATATACTCTTCCCATTCTTATGAACACTGGAGCTTTGTGCTATGACACATGCTCTCTGGGCAGATCTGTGCTGGAGTCAGAGGACCTGCGGGTGACCAGGGCGGGCTGCCGACCTGCGACACCAGTGTTTTTGTTTTTCGGTTGAACGACATTATAGTTGGAAGTTAGTTGCCACTAATGGGAAGAGCCTGAGGTTGATGAAGTCGGTCTGGTCCGCAGCCAACAATCCCAGCAATCACTGGCCACATAGTCGCGATCGGGTCATTTTTTTGTCATCAGAACAAAATTTCTTTGTGTACACGAGAAATGTCAAATGTATGATTCCTCTAGAATTTGCTGAGTACAGTTTTTGTTTGTTTTTTCCGAGTCTCCCCTTTGTCCCACATAGCAAGACTTTTTCTTTTTCTTTTTTTTGGATACAAGTGCGTATTTAGTGTGTTTGCAGCCTCTCTGGGAGCTTCTTTGGACACTCTGTATTTAACTTGGGAGGCCTAGCTATTTTTCCTCTTTGTTTTAATTGGCCCGTGTGTGTGTGGGGGGGGGTCTGTGGTATTGCTTTGTTATGAAAACATTTAAAAACATCGGCTGGGCCATCCGTACTTCCTGGAGGTCCAAGTTTCTCAACAACACGGTCTCCTAAGACGGCCGGATTTCATGAGTAAAAAAAGACCAGGGACTAAGATAATAATGTGTGTTTGTGCGTGGAGGCGCATGGTTAAAGGAAATAAGAAATGTCTTTGTGCTAATATTTAGACATTTTCCCCCACCGCTATGAGAAGACCTTTGTTTTGACACTGTTTATTTCCAGATGACGAGAAGCGTCTGGTGGAGGAAGTTTTCAACAACGCGGTGGACTGTCTATCGGACGAAGACAAGAAGCTCCCTCAGGTGTGTGCGTCTGAAACCTCGCATGTTTTACAGCCCTCCAGTCCCATAATCGGCCGCCATCTAAGCAGCTGCCCACATAACGCTCGTGTTATTTATGTTAGTCGCATTATGAAACCTGCCGTGTTGTGGCGACAGCTGTTAGTGGCTAGACCGCTACGGCGAGCGCACGCTTTTTCCACTACGAGGCTCGTAGCTGCTTTTCCACTCTGCGCAACTCTGCTGCTGGTGGCTGTGATCGTATGAAGGAACTAAACCGCTGATACGAGGGATTACACATTACTGCACAGCGCTAATCTGCCGCTCGGCGTTCCTCAGGTGGAGCACGTGCTGCCGCTGTTGAAGAGGGGGATAGGAATCCACCACGGAGGCCTGCTGCCCATCCTCAAGGAGACCATAGAGATCCTTTTCTCCGAAGGCCTGATAAAGGTACAGCTGTCTCCGGGATGAGCCGCTCTTCACAACACATTTAAACAAGTTATACAAGGAACGCTGAGCAGAGGGAAAAAGTTCTTCACAGAAGGAATCTTTAACCTACTACATAACGTTTGTTTACAAGAAAACCGTTTTAAACGGGATTCAAAGCGACGTCCGATTATTGCGACAAGATCTTATTAATAACACTTTGTTCTCATTTCAGGCCCTGTTTGCGACGGAGACCTTCGCCATGGGCATCAACATGCCGGCTCGCACTGTGCTCTTCACTAGCGCGCGCAAGTTCGACGGCAAGAACCACCGCTTTGTAAGAGCACATCTGTGCACGCTGTTATATAACATGATAAAGAAGGACAGATGTCTAATGAAGGGGACATTCTTTGGTAATTTATTCCTGCTCATCCCATGTTCCACGCAGTGTACATTATGTTGGGCAGCTGCAATTTCAAGAGGTGTGGATGTGAGCACAGGAGAGCCCAAAAAGATGACTTATGTGAACTCGGAAGGAGGCGTGAGGCGAATCTCCTCCCCGTAAATCTCTGCTGAAGCAGCAGCTCTGGTCGCTGCGCAGTGCAGAGGTGTCAGTGTTGCTCCGAGGCCTTTGTAAGGTCTTCAAGTCTTGCAGTGCCACGTAAACACCCACGTATTGTTTAGTGTGTGTGTAAGCACCCTTCATCTTTACTTCATACTTCAGCTATTTCCCTCCAAGAGGTTCATAACGAACATCTGGTGCCTCCAATGATGCCAAAGCTCCACGCAGGCACTCACACATTTGAATTCCTGAAACGCACTGTGATTTGAATCAAGAGCTGATCCCGTGGCATCCGATCAGGTCCACAGCCAAATACTCGCATGTGTGGAGCAGAATAATGGCACACAGAAAATAGTCCTTGGATGATGATGGAAATCTGGTTTAGTACTTTCCTCCTCAATCATCTAGATTTGTTTCTACTACTGCCGATACATTAGACACACTCTGCAGTAGTACCGTTTGCTAACGAAGGTCCTTTTTTTATCGTCTTGTGTGTTTTCACGTGGTCTAGATTACGTCAGGTGAGTACATCCAGATGTCGGGCCGAGCCGGGAGGAGAGGAATGGACGACAGGGGGATTGTTATTTTCATGGCGGACGAGAAGATGAGCCCCAAAGTTGGCAAACAGCTGCTCAAGGTACCGCCGATACCGTGCTGTTTATGCTGTTAAATCCAATGTCACCAATCACTGGTTTTTGAACTTCTCCTGTGTGGTCTCGCTGACTATTTGTGTGAATGATTAAATGGAGACTCTTAAGTTATCCCCTCCATGCATCATAAACACAGTCACAGGGAAGCCAGAGTCTTCCAGCTGCTATAAATATGTCACTGCTTAGCTTTTCTTGATCTTCGGTCTCCTGGTTGTTGTGCTCCTCAGGGCTCCGCAGACCCTTTAAACAGTGCCTTCCACCTGACCTACAACATGGTGCTCAACCTGCTGCGTGTGGAGGAGATCAACCCAGAGTACATGCTGGAGAAGTCCTTCTACCAGTTCCAACACTACAGGGCGTTGCCCGGTGTCGTGGAGAGTAAGCATGTTTACATCTGTATTCACTGGACCAGAAAACCGACTAAACGCTGCTGATTTACTCATTTAGAAAATGCATAGTGATGTTTGATGACTCATGATAGAAGTTTTAAAAGACTCTAAGGCATCTTTTATTATTAGGTGTCCATTTTCCATATCAAGAGGTTCCCCTTGAAGATGCTAAAATCCTATTTGATTCTCCTGTTGTGGCCTAACTCCATTGCCGATTTCTCTGCAGAAATTAAGAAATATGAGAAGGAGTACCATCGCATTGAAATTCCCAATGAAGAGCACGTGTTCACTTACTTCAAAATCCGACAGCAGCTGGCCAAACTGGCCCAAGAGATACAAGAGTTCACCCACAAACCCAAATACTGCCTGCCCTTCCTGCAGCCCGGGCGGCTCGTCAAGGTAGAGCTTCACACGACACACTCCGGTCTGACGACAGGCCGGCAATCTGTCGCTCAAACGCCTCAATTCACGGCCCTTCGTGTTGATCCCTCAGGTGAAAAACAACGACGCCGACTTCGGCTGGGGCATCGTCGTTAACTTCTCCAAGAAGACTAACGTGAAGGTAAGTCGGCGTCCCGGGCGCTCGTGATTCCATGCGCATGCGTCTGTGACTAATGTGCATTTCCCCGTGTAGACGAGTGCGGAGGCGCAGCCGCTGTATGTGGTGGAGGTTCTGGTCCACTGCAGTAAGGACAGTGTGAAGGAGGCTGCGACAGAGGCTGCTAAACCCGCTGCTCCAGGGGAGGCTGGAGAGATGCAGGTGGATTAAACGAGCGCATGTTTCATTTACAAATAAGACTGCAGGTTTCCGTAGAGTCCTTTTTTTTTTAAATGTATTTACTATCGTACTTTTTGTCCAGGTGGTCCCGGTGATGCTCCATCTCCTGACTTCCATCAGCTCAGTTCGCCTCTTCATCCCCAAAGACCTGAGGCCCTTTGACAACAGACAGCTCATGCTCAAGTCTATTCAGGTACAAACGGCACCTCGTTGCAACAAAGGAAAGAAAACTTGCGAAACTCAACTGTAATCGTTGAAATATTTTCTCTCTTCCCCCCCCTCCAAACGTTCGGTCTGCAGGAGGTGCAGAAACGTTTCCCAGATGGCGTTCCCCTGCTCGACCCCGTGGATGACATGGGCATCAAAGATCCGGCCCTGAAGAAAGTTATTCAGAAAGTGGAGGCCTTTGAGCACCGCCTGTACTCCCACCCGCTGCACAGCGACCCCACCCTGGAGTCTGCGTATTCCCTCTGTGAGAAGAAAGCCGTGGTGAGAATCCATACGTGTGCTTTTTCCAGTGTGTGGGGGCGCCAAAAGGTCACCGGTAGAAAAACCCGCTGAACGTCCACTCGAATACAAAGCCAGGTTTTGTTACCCCAGAATATGAATAAGTTTAATCTTCCCTTTTTATCTTCGCCGGCTGCCTTTTTGTTGGATTACAATATGTGACCTTTCCTTGACTCTTCCTGCCACGTATACATACAAACACAGGTGGGAAGAAAAGAAGGTCATGGCCTTTATGGCTTTATGTTGAAGTAGGCAGAGTGATGCATGCAAACAGATTGGAAAGTTGAGCAGAGATGTACGTCCCTGCGTGTTCGTGTGTGGTGAAATGATGGGGTATGTTGTGCCGTTCAAACTGGATTAAGAGATTAACCTGCTCCCCTATGGGCATTTCTCCACAGCTAATCCTTAATCGCGTTGCTTAATCATATTGGCCTTTTACACTAAGGAGACCTGTCTCACCTCACTACTATCTCTACAAACCACACGATGTGGAGGACGTGACTGAAATCCATTTGATGCCGTGTAGACCAAAGCCAGAATCACAACGTTTTTGTTTTTTTTGCCAGGAATGTTGGATTTACCATGTTTGATTTGATACTTACTTACAAACTGACGTTGTTTTTTGAACCGTCTTTCAGCTCTTGTGTTTATTTGAATGATTTCGTCATTATCTCACATGCAACCGCCAGTTGCATAGAAATTGTGCTCTAATTCCTTGAGCAATGCACCACGCTGCCGAAATCAGTTAGTGTGATCTGCCTCTTTGGCCTTGGGGTGTTTCTTAATCTCGAGTTGTGAAGGTTAACAGTTGACTGTTGCCATTATTCAGCACAGGGAAGCAGGCAGATGAACATCTGTTAGCTGATAAATGTTCTCCCTCCTTCGCTGTGAAAGTTATTGTAGTGTTTAGAATGATCTCATGCCCAAAACATCTGGGAGTTCTCACAGTGCCCCCCCCCCCCCTCCCCCCATTTGTGCGTTTGTGTAGATCGCCACTAAGGGTCGAGCGGCCAAGCTGGAGCTGAAGGAAGCGCGCACCGTCCTGCAGATGGACAAGCTCAAGTGCAGGAAGAGAGTCCTGCGGCGCCTCGGCTTCGCCAGTCCGTCCGACGTCATCGAGATGAAAGGGCGGGTCGCCTGTGAAATCAGCAGGTAGGGGAGGACGGAGCGCGCCGCTTCCAAGGAACAAGGAAGAGACGCGTCGTCTTGTGCGCGCAAAGCAACAAAATCTCACCGCTTGACTTCTTCCAGTGCCGATGAGCTGCTGCTGACGGAAATGGTGTTCAACGGCCTCTTCAACGACCTGACGGCGGAGCAAGCCACCGCCCTGCTGTCCTGCTTCGTCTTCCAGGAGAACGTACGAACAAACGCACATAACCCTCCCACCGCCAATTGTCCGGCTGATTCCCGTCCCCGCGCGTAGAAGCTGCGGGCGCATTCTTGGCCTCTCCGCTCGCACGGCAACGAAAACCAAAGTCTGACGTGTGTTTACGTTTCCTAATGAACGAACCTTTTCTTTGGCGCCAACGTCCACAGAGCAACAGAAGCCAAACGTCCATCGCTCAGTTCACTAGCATGAAGAAGGTCGTTGGTTCAATGCGTAGCACTTTAGTTAGCTTAGTATAGAAGTAAGTGATAAGAGGGAAATGGTCCTGTAGCTCCATATTGTACAGATGTGGTTAAAGTGAAGCTGCTGGCGTACCTTTCACACCTTTCGCTGACTAACACCTACTTAGCAGTTTTATTGAGCACTTTATTAAGACGAGTTGGATCAAATCTGAAGCGCCATCTGTTTCAACCAAACTCCAAAACAAACGTTTGCTATCGCATGTCCACAACGGTGCTGATGCAATTCTGCCCTCCAGGTCGTGGAGATACCAAAACTGACTGAACAACTGGCAGCTCCTTTGAGACAAATGCAGGTCAGACGAACTAAAAATTACCTCAAACAAACTTTGTAGTTGATGAAAGTTTGAATTAGGTGGAAACTGTTTTTGTTTTGTTTTTTCTCAGGAATGTGCAAAGCGCATTGCAAAGGTCTCTGCAGACGCCAAGCTGGACGTGGACGAGGAGACTTATCTCGGCCAGTTTAAGCCCCACCTCATGGACGTGGTGTTCGCCTGGGCAAACGGCGCCACGTTCGCTCAGATCTGCAAGATGACCGACGTCTTTGAAGGTGTGCAATTCAAATGACAGACGTTTTAAGTATTTTCACCTCGATAATTTGTAGTTATTGGTATTTTTATACTTGCACTAAACTAATTCAATACGCTGTTAAAGATTAAATCAGTGGCTCTTAAACTATTCTGTTTAATTGTCCAAGACTCCAAAAGTCGAGTGTGTAATATATTTATTTTAAGCATCATAGCTCGGTGTTCAAGGATCCGAGGGAGGCCATCATTCATTCTGCAATAATATACAAGTTAAGAATCGGAATGTTCCTTCATAACTGCAGCGATGCAGCGCGGCCTTTATAAATCCTTTCTGTCGGAGGCTCACTGATGGATTGAGTGTGGTGTGAGTCGAGTAGTCGGCCTCCTCATAGTTTCTCTCTCTCTGACCTCAGCCGGGACGCATGTCACGGTAATGAGTAACCTCTAAATGAGGAGGGAGTGTTGAATGTGCCAACGGGGGAGACGGAGAATGAAAGTGCTCCATTTAACCCGAGCTAGATATTACTCATTAATTGCTTTATTATTGGAAGCGTAACTCTTTCTATATGCTAAATGTTTTACCTGTTAACCAATGGCACTGACTAAAGTACTTATTTGTTTAGTTGGAATTGATACATTTATTTTGTACAAATGTATTTGTGCCAAAGAAGTTACTCACTATTTTTAAATAGTGTATATATACTATATTTGTAAATTGTCGACAGTACAGATGTGCGAGTAGTCAAACTGCATTCCTCCTAGATGTCCTTATTGTGCCATTGAACGTCCTGCATGGAACTATGAAGAGGAGAGTAGCACCCTGAGCGCTCTGTGTGTTTGTCTCGGTCTGGCGTAGGAAGCATCATCCGCTGCATGCGCCGCCTGGAAGAAGTGCTGAGGCAGATGTGTTCTGCAGCCAAAGCCATCGGCAACACGGAGCTGGAGAACAAGTTTTCTGAGGGTAAGACGCCTACGACTAAACCATTTTAGTGAAAATTATTACGCCAGAAAACCATTTAAGATAAATTAATGATGAGAATAATTGTTTGAAGTAGCTGTAATTGTTCTGGAGCCTTTTTAAGGAAGTTGGAGACATTTGATGATACATATTTAAAACTGCTCGACTCTTAATAAATGATATTTCATGTCTGTGTCTCTGCAGGAATAACAAAGATCAAGAGAGACATTGTGTTTGCTGCCAGTCTCTACCTATAATGATCTGACGGCTTCCCACCACACGATGAGCAGCACCGCAGGATAAAAGCTATTTTTAAATTTTATTTCTGATTAATCCCCGACGGGTCTCTTGAACATCCCCTCTTTTTGTCTCACGTTTTTCCAACTGTCAAATAGTTTGGCATTCATCCCCCTAAAATGTTAAGTTGAATTGGCTGGAATTTATTTGTCCCTGAGGGGACATAATTGACTTGTTTTGCCTTCAACTTTGTAACGTCCTGTTCGGCTTTGTTATTCACGTTGGGAATCGCATCGAATATATAAACGACTGAGCAATTAAGCAGAAGTGTTTTTCATTTGGATGAACGCTTCCGTTTAGAGAACGCGGTGAACATTAATGCTTTTATTTTTCATTAGTTTTACAAATTGGTTCATAATCTGACATTTTGAGGAGTGATGGAATTAAACCAGTCATGCTTTAATTTCAAGATCTTTTGACAAAATGCCTTTTTTTTTTTACATTTGTACATATTTAACGTTTTCTTCCATAAAGTCAGTATGGTGTTTTTGAAATACAGCTTTTAAAAGAACTACGTTGGTGTCATTTCCATTTGTTGTCGATAGTCTGCTCCTTTACCTTGAGAAGCAAACATTGCGCTGATTAGCTGCTTCAATTTATTCCGGTGTAAATTAAGCAGCTGACATTTTTATCTCCTGGAGATCGGCTCCACGTCAATGAAAATCTTCCTAAAGCTTTATTTAAAAAAAAACCTGCATTCATGAGCAATCGTTAAATTGAGACAGTGGGTCTGGAAACGGTTATCCTAAATCATGGTATAAATGTATGAAGGACATTATGAAAAGTCCTTTTGTAGTTAATGAGAAATACTAAATTGGTAAGCAATGAATGACCCTGTGAACGTAATTTAAAGACTTTTTGAAAAAATATTTTAACTAAGTCAAGACAATATCCTAGAAAAAGTCAGTAAGGGATCTAAAAATGTACAGATTAAATACTTTAATTTTATACCCAAACCAGTAAGTCGTGTGTATGTTTCAAACGAATGTCACAAAGCCGTAGTGTCTTAAATTAGTCATAGTAAAGTAACTCAAACGAATGTCCTGGTGTGTGTGTATTTTACAAATGAGTGGGGAAAAAAGTTTTCCGTTTATACCCAAAATGTTCTGCAATAATTTGCACGATTATCAAAGGAGAATTATACTGTGAATATTTTGGGACATGAAGTCATGCTTTTATCATTTTTTGCTTGCATGAGAAACTAGGTTCATAACATTTTGATATCTGGCTGAGGAAGTCATGCTTTAATTTTATAACCGATCATGACAATACAAACGTATGTTCATTTTAAGTAAAATGGCTTTTCCTTTTTCCTATATTCAACATTTCTTATTTGCACACAGATTATATAAAAGCGCATTGTCTGTACACTTGATGTTTAGTATTTAGCAGCAGTCCAGTAAAGGCAGCGCAGGAAAAACCGCCTACTCTCAAAGTGGAGCTTCCCCTTCGACCATATTAGGTGTGACAGCAGCTCCAGATGTGAAGATCAGCTTCACGTTCGAGCCGTGAGGCAAAACACTAACCCCCTCGCTCCCTCCCTCCCCCTAAATTGAGGCTGGACCTAAAGGCAGCAAGTTACGAGATTGAGGTGCCGGAGTGCAACTAGAAACCGATCGTTGAGCAGATTGACTCCAGGTCGGGAAAAGCACAAAGCAAGCTTACATTCACAGGTTTCAGGGCCCCCGCCTCCCCATCCCTCCCCTCCCAGCAGTGGTTGGACAGTTTAGTGGGCGCAGGCAGCAGTAACGTCTTCTCAGCAGCTCAGTAGATGCATGCGCGCTAAAATGCTCTGTCTTTCCAGAGTCTCTAACCCTTAACCCACATCTGTCCAGCTCACATCAGCATATGTGCGCGGCTTGGAACCAGCTGTTGGTGGATTGTTGGTGTGAGACGAAGGGCTAGAGAGCTGGCTTCCTTTGGGCAGAGCAGAGAGGTGTCGTCCCCTTCATCCTCCTCCTCCTCTTTGCTTAGTTGGGACTCTCAAAGTGGTTTCCGTTGGTCGGAGTCTCCTGCAGGGTCGCGTGCGGGATGTCGTCCTTATGGGGAACCACGCGCGGCTTGAAAAAGTCCGACACGCAGAAGACCTGCGAGGTACAAGAGAAGGCATCGATGAGGGTTCGGCTTAATGCTTTACACCTTGTTTAAAAAACACCCTGGGGAGGTGTATTCATAGAGCATGCAAAAGATTGTATATGTTACAAAAATGTAATGGAATTGGAATGTTAATGTCTATTTTCTGGGCAACTCTTTATCCATTTATAGCTTCCTGTGTTAATGCATGAAATTCCTTTTAAACTATTTAATTTGTCCTACACGGAGACAACTATCCACCAGAGCTACGGTGTGTGTGTGGCATCTACATGCCATACTTAGCAGAGGTGCACAGAGCTATGCAAACGGCGCCCACCCTCCTTCCTGCTGTACCAAGCGTCTCATATTTTCAAATTTAACTTGGACTTGGATATTAAAAAAACCGATTGGTTCTAAGACTGATTTAAACGCATCACTCACCACCAGGACGGCCATGAGAGCCCCCTGCAGGAGTCCAGTCAGCACGTCGCTCCAGTGATGCTTATAGTCGGACACCCGGGACAATCCTGTGAACACTGTGGCAGCAATCAGGAAAAACTGGATGGTGGGTCTCAGCAGCCTCGCCCAGTCGGCCCGCAGCCGGGCCTGCAGGTACAGCTGGAAGGAGACACGGGAGCGTTGTAGTCTGCTGCGTTCGTGGACGTCGAGGAGAAACGGGCTCAGCCGCTTCATACGGACCCGCGTTGCCCTTCCTTTACCACTACGCAAATAGCTCAGAAGACACTCCCTGCATTTGTGGGTAAACTGCCGTTTGTGATACGCTTCATGTTGCCGCCAGGACTTTGTCCCTGACTTTCTTTAGCTCTTCTGGTGCTGAATGAATCAGCAGCCATTAAAGTCCATCGGGGGCCCGGGCAGTAAAATCCTCATATTTAACGGACTCTTATCTCTCAGAGAGAAACGCAAACACGAGTATTTAGTCAAACTCACGTGATTAATATTAGCATTGCGAACACGACAGCAAATGATGTACTAATTTTTGATGTACTTGTAATATTTAGTTGAATTTCCTTTGAACACAACGTAAATGGTGGTTAGAATGTGATCAATGTTTAACAGGTTTGGGTACTTACAGCCAGGAAGAGCATGCAGTACATGGAAAAAGAGGAGTGTCCCGAGTAGAAGGACAGTCTGCAAAGGAAAGACAAAAGCGTGGCTCAGCTCTGTGCTCGATTAAGGGAAAACAAAACACACACGTCACCGACATTAACCAGACGCACAACCTCGTTTGGTCACAGGATGGAGGACATTGTGTGTCTAACAATCCGTATAAGACATTTAAAAGCAGTAAGGAAAACAACTTTTTTATACAATGTATTATGGAACAAGTCACCGAAGTTAATCGATTAATTATTGCAAATTGAATAATGTTGCTGACTGGGCTCCACTCGACAAAATGATTATGAAAGTCTCCTTTTCCTTAGATGTGCATTTTTTCCCCCCATCACACTCACACCTAAAGTTGTTGTTTCTCTTAAATGCAAATACGCCTCTTCCTCGTTCAAACTAAGCCAGAGAGGAATCATGTTACAGTAAAACGATCGTGAGCAGGACACACACACACACACACACACACACACACACACACACACACACACACACACACACACACACACACACACACACACACACACACACACACACACACACACACGGCTCGTTAGATCCTCACGGGACGCCTGCTGTCCCACCGATGGACCTTTGTCTCATGTTGCATTCAAAGAGCTAAAAGCACAGTGAATTCACCACTCCGCTCCTGGAAAGAGAAACCTCCTCTATATAAATAACCAACAACAAAACCCTCGCAGCTCTGATACAATTCTTCCACTTCAGGCCTCCGCTTCTGTAATTGCTCCCGGTCTCGTGCTCGCGGCTGCACGAGAGCGAGAAGCGGACGTCCTCCCCACCCACCACACTTCCTTCTGCTCGGAGCCGATAAGGGACACAAACCAGCTTTACATTCCTGGTGTTATTGTTCCATCCTGCAGGTCTCACTGCACGGACATCGGCCAGAAAGTAGACGTCGCACAACAACGTCATGCCAATAAGATACTAATCGACTGAGTGTTCACGGGCGCTTCAGCGACACATTTGACCTTTGCACCAACACAACGAGCATGTTGGGAAACAAAGCAGTGAGCGGAGGCTCTGCACTCGGTTAGATCCCACTAATCCGTACAAACAAAAGCGCGCGAGGGGCTGATTTCATCAGCTAGCATCAAACCAACGGAACAAATTAGAACTAGTTCACCTCGGGCTGCACCTGGTGACAGTGATTCTTACATCATTCATTCATCCGATGGTTTTGTCTACAAAGAGCGAATAAGAGAGGACGGATGTTCCTCCACAACCCCGAGGTCTTAAACGCATTCATTCATTCGTATGACAAAGAATCCAATCCCGACGCTGTGGAACAGGTTCCCACGCACACGCACACCTGGCCTCGTTGACCACGTCCGGGTCTCCAGTGCAGGCGAAGTCTTCGACGTACGCCCCCGACGAGCAGTTGATTTTCCCCCAGTCGGGTTTGCACACGGCCAGGAAGTGCGGCCTGAGGCGGCCGATGGAGTACTTGGCGATGTCGGTCAGAGACTGGCTCATGGCGGCGCCGAAGACGAACGAGCCGACGGCCTTGTAGACACTGGAGACGTAGCTGCCGAAAGAGGACTTGGATTTGATGCGCTTTAAATAGACCGAAAGGCACTCGCCAATTATCATCTGTGGGGGGGGTGAAGGGGGTACAGAGTTAGAGGTTTGTACAGACATTTAAAAACTAATAAATTAATCCTCACAGTCGGCAATATGACCTAATCTCTGAAGTAGTTATGAAAGTATCAATGGCCAAAGGATGATGTCCACTTCAAAAAAATAAACCTCTTTGTGTCATACATTGTTAGATCTGTACGTATGTGTACATACTTCTTTACAATTGTGTATTTAAAAGCAGCAGCTGCTACCTCGCCGCTAACCTTAGGAACCGCTCAATAGGAGAACTATCGGCTCTTTCTGGTCTTTTGGTTAAAGATACTAAAGCGAAGTGGCTCTCGTTGCCCGTTTAAGAGGCGTCGCGGTCTTTTCCGTTCCAGTCGGCCTCGCACACACACACACACACGCACACACACACACACACACACAGAAGTCACCGCTGAGTGTTTCACATCAGTCATAGCGGTCGGTCTGTGGAATAATCAGAGCCGGGGGGGGGGGTTTCCAAATAAAAAGGTCCACCTCAGGTCACCTTCCTGTTTTATCCTCAAATATTGCAGTTTGTGAAACATTCTCTACGACATGCAGTTAACGAACAAACGAACACTTAATGGTGGATTAGGAAAGAAATTCAAAACGTCACAGTATTATGAGATCAAATATTTAGCAACTATTGCATTAAGAGAGAAGTTAGGGGTGTAAGAGCAGATACAGCCGCACACAATTTACAGGTTAAAAAAAAAAAAAGGTATTAGCAGAAAAAAACAGATGCACTTACAGTGAGTACTGTGACGGGAATCATGACACCTCCTAACAACTGATAGGAAATGGTGTCGTCTTTAAGGGGGTACTTGATTGAATCGTCATTACAGAAAAAGCCCCGGCGGAAAGGACTGTGTCGCGGAGTGAGTATTGCAAATGGAAGTCCAGCTGGATCAGAGAAGCAATGAGAGAGAGAACACAAAAAAGGCAAAAAAAAAATACAGGTTACAAGAGCATGTCACTGGGCCTCAGACCCCCCTCGCTACCCACGATGCAACACCACGTGCCTGTGCACCACGACCACGTCTGTGTGAGGGAAGCATGAAACGTTGCCTCCTCCGAAGAAACACCGGTGGGGGAAACATTAGTGGTTGAAGTGCAACACGGCAGTTGGAGCATGGATGAGGAAAGGATGCGGAGTCAAGTCAAAGATGACAAAGGGGGCATTTCAGGGAAGGTTGTTGAGCCCCCTCAGTCAGAAGAAAGGCTCGTGCAAAAAAGGTGCGTTCTCACTCACTTCCTCCCCCTCAAAGCCGCAACTCGGTCTTTGTCACTGTTCTGTTCGGCAAAGCAACCGCGTGCTGCTTCCTAGAACTGACCGCTTTTAAAAGTAGGCCGAGGTTAAACGCTAAGGACGAGATAGTTCACAGATACAACAGAGCAGAATGCAGACCCCCCCCAGCAGGACTTTCTATTTAAAGCAGCCGCGGCACGAAGCCTTTGCAGCTGCTGCAACAATTATCCACAGCGAGAGACACTTCACCAGAGATGAACACGCAGAACTGAAATTATTCAAATCCAAAAAGATTACCGCCTTCACCCGCAAACTAGATGGTTAAAACGTGTGTGTGCATAAGAACATTATGGTATACGTTTATTGTTTGCAAGTGGACAACTTCCTTTCCTTTGAGCTCTTGATACAAAACAGTCAGCTGTGATAAGAAAACTAAAGAAGACACACTGTGCACGACTGATTTCGTCCTATCGAAGTTAATTTAATGAATTTAACAATCCACTGTCTCATAGAAACGAGGAAGCCAAATGTTGTGAACACTTCTTAAATTAGGTTCTGGAAACGTGCCGATCTGTCTCGCCGAGGACACGTTGACTCGCCATCACAGCGGCTGCTTCCCCCCAGGGCGTGCCGGGGGAACAGGCGTCCATCACACCACAGTGACGTCGCCGGTCACACCGGCAGGACCGGCGAGTCAACGCATCCTCCGGAGAGGGAGGGGGAGGGACCGGTCGCCGATCGACGCCCACTTACGCAGCTAATGGGCAGGGCCAAGCCCACGCCGTAGAGCACGGCGGAGCTTATTGTGCCGCTGTGGAACGGGTACTTGATGCTGTCGTCGCTACAGAAAAAGCCCCTCTGGTAGGGGCGGATCTTAGCCAGGTTAAAGGCCGCCAGAGGCAGACCCCCTGTGGACGGAGAGAGCAGGACAAGTTACCTACTGCAAAAGACACAAGGAGCACGGCAGAGGAAGAAAAGGGGCCCAGACAAAGCGCCGAGGTCTCTCATGTCCGTTTGTGGCGTCGTGACAAATGATCCAACGCGTGTGACGGACATCAGGGACCCCAAACGTTAGAGCAGGCCCGTGAAAGGAGAAGACTTCTACTTTTCTGTGGGTCATTACATTTGGTGAAAAGGAGCAAAAGGGAAGCCACGAGTTCTCTGAACACATCTGCCTTAAAGACAGTTATTCCGAGGGAAGGAAAAACAGATGACAAACACAGATCTGATTCAGGACTTTTTTTAAACCGCTGGGCACTGGAGTTTTTATTCTGATCGTCAGTGTTCAAAAGAAGAAAAGGAAGATTCATACTCATTGATGCTTTTCTAATAATATTTGGGACAACAATGGCACGTAAATACGCTGCATAGACGGGACACGCTCAAGCCATTGTTAGCTTTATGTCTTTTGGTGAGTAATGTGCACGGTGAGAAAGTATTGCAAGTCCTATCCTTTCACCCTGCACCACAGAAAATGTAAACAACATTAGGTATTAGACACAGGAATAATGTTATCTTCGGGTAGTTCTTCAGCCCCCGACCCCTTAAGATCAAATACCATAAAGATAATAGACGATGTTAATTAGACTTTGACAGTTCAAAGTCTGAACGTGTGGCTGCCGTCATTCCTCTGGTGGTTTACTGCACTGCATCATAGGGGAAACACACAGAACACAATACGGTCTATTTAAGCACAAATTGATCTGTAAACACACCACATCCACTGAGCGCGCACACACGCACGAAGATGCACAGACGTCCTATAAAGGACTTCGTAATGCTGCCGGCCATCTGTGCAGCTGTTGACACAGTGAGCTGTGCCACACTAAAGTGATCGGCTGCAACAGCTGGAAACGCTGTAAACACAAAAGAAACACACACACGGACAGGAAGAAAAAAAAAAACCCTCTCCAAGCACTTTATGTACTTCAGAAAACAAAACCCTAAGAAAAAAAAGTTTATTAATCCTTTGGAGTCTACCCTGTACAGTCACATGCTGCTGCCTCGGTCTAGAAACAGATTACTGTTGCAGATGCTTGGCTATAATCTAATAGTCTCTGTCATTAGCAGAATAATCCAGTTTGCTTCTGCATCGGTCATCTGAACAGCAAACTGGGGTTTGTCCAGTCCCACTGCTTCTCGCTGCTAGAGGCCCTGTAAAGCACTGTCAAATAAATCTGTCGACTTCAATAGTTTGAAGTCACTCTCCCTTTATTGACAAATAGATATTAGCAGATCCGTGGACTCAATTTAATTGTAGCGAGAGGTGTGATTACGTCAACGAGGAGGCTTTAAAGCAGAAGCCTGGGAGGTATGGATTCCACTGGCAGCACTGTGTCTCAGCAAAACCCCCAATAACAAGAGTACATCCACAGGTTCCTGTATAGACAGGCACGCTATTATGACGTATTGATCCACTCAGGAAAATAAAATCAATACTAACCATTAGATGACTATGAGCATTTGTAACAAACCGAAGAACTTTGGGCACGATGGGGAAAACAGATCACGCGACTCTTGATTAATTTAAGGGCCCATTTGACACCAGAAACCCGACAGAATACCGGGAAACACTGATATCGCATGTCACACGCGTCGTTAAGTATCCCGACAGTGGGTTTGTATCTCAGCACAGACAGCCTTGCAAATAGCCGAGACAATAATAATAATAATAATAATAATAAACACAAGCATTGGGGCACGTACCCAGGACGAGACATGCTACGTCGAGCAGGACAAAGGCGACTCCTCTCGCCTCGAACATGTTTGGTCCCGTCCGTCTTCCGACTCGACTGCCGGGTCCGTGTGGCGTCGTCTTCTGAAATAAACACCGGCAGAGGGATGCCCCTCCTAGTGACGTCACCGCGGCGGGCGGGGCCGAACGTGCGAGCGCATAGTTGTGGAAACGCAATGACGAGGTCGACGCCTTCGCACGGAGCCGGCAGACACCAAGGGGTTGTGTGTTTGTTGTTGTTGGTTGTTTTGTTGTTGTTAGGGGGCGGTGAGCTGCAGTCGATAACTCCGCAAGGCTGTGTTTTTTGTTTTTTTCAACGCCGATGAATAAAACAAACACTCCCCGCCGGGTCGTTCGGTCGCACACCTGTTCGGTCACTCGAGCCGGGAGCTTAATTGTTTTACATTTCGTCACAGTGAAACAGCTCCTTCTGCTGCTCAAAAGTCACAGATGTCGCCACAGCTGCCACGACCTCAAGAAGAATCCCGCTTCCCAGGACACGGCAAACAAAAAGGGCCACCAGCACCACCAGTCTCCAGCAACTAAAAGAAGAAAAAAAAAGACAAAAACCAATTAGTGGAGAGTTATAATAAAATGAAAACAAATAAACAAAATTACAATAAGACAAACATCCATTCAACAATGCACAGGGACACAGCCCTGGTTAAAACACAGGCGTGATAAATGACAGCGCACCAGGCAGCGATTGGTCCGCTAACTGCGTCCTTCACGGAGTCTCACATTTCCGCTTTCATAGCCCGATGGCGCCATTATTAAAACGAAGAATGTTTACGAGAGAACGGATCAGATTGAAGAGCTTTTGTCGGGAAGAAATGCGTAAATATGACCGCTTCTACACGCCGTCATTGGCGGGTTGGATTCACGGAGGGAGATCGCCGCAAACGCCGGTTCGAGAGGGGCAAAAAGTTGTGGAGGAAAATACGGGACAAATGTGTCCGCGATGAAAAGCAGCAGTGGCGATGCACGGGGCAATGAAGTCTATGATAAATAAATCAATAAACAAATAAATAAATAAGACGTGACTTCAGGTCGTCTTCAACAAAAACACGTCACTCCGCCTGTTGTTCTGGCGGTGAACTGCAACACACGCGAGACTTTAGAGCCATGAATTGAAACGAGTGCGTCGACGCAGACGCAGAAGCACGCGCCGGCGTCTAGTTTAGCTTTTAAATACTGCGGTTGCTCGCGTTTACTTAAAAACACACATCCCGGTTTTAGGACACACGTGAGGAGGGAGGGAGAGGACACTGGCTGTCGCTGGCATTTACCTGTGACCACACTAGCGTTAGCCACCAGACAGCGTCAACAACGCCAAGAAGAGGGGGACACTCGCCAAGCAAAGAAGACGCCACGGGGCGCACAGAGCAGCACGCGCCCGGTCGCCCGGAAATGACGCAACAAAAGAAGACAGAGGCGCAAGAGGAGGAGCCGGTGGAGGCGTGTCGAGAAAACAAAGACCAATCCAAACGCTTCCACGAGTGCCAAAGCTTCAAAGTCCCATTGCGACTCCCGAGACAAACCGGCGATCACCAACAAACCAAACGCGCACCAACCGCACCGCAGCGGATCAACGCGCAAACAAAGACACGTGTCGCACGCAATCCACACACCCGATCGTCAAACAAATCACGGACCACAACTGGACAAGCCCCCCATTTGTCACGACCTGGCCCTTTGGGGCCATGACAGGATTGGAGTTGCACTGTTTCAAGAGACAATGTTCTTTATTTAACATAATAAATAAAGATCGAAACGAAAAATCAACAAACATTACAAATGGGATGTGAACGTCAGTATATATATATATATATATATATATATATATATATATATATATATATATATATATATATATATATATATATATATATATAGTGTGTAGAAAAAAACACCACCACAACGTGGGTTGTTTTGTATTTTACACTCCGTTGTCGTGGAAGTCCCACTCTCTGACCACACAATGGAATGGAATCTTCAAGGCCAAGTTCCAGGACAAAGTACATTCATCTGTTCATTGCGAGTCTGGCCACAGGACAGAGCACTGCATATTGTTTTGTGAGAGAATTAATCAGCGACGTTTGTCCTTAACGAGACTTAATCAAGTAGCCTTTAGATGGATATATCACCATTCTTCAAAGATCACATGGAGTCGTTATCCGGCAAGCAAACAAACAGCCTTTTTCAAGGCTTCCAGCCTATTTTGGCGCTTCACGTCTCGGGACTCCTCCCAACGGATACAAGGTGAACATGGCACTTTCTCGTGCCCGGGATGAAGTGCACTACCTGAAAAGGAAGGTGAGCGAACTCACTGCTCACACTGAAACTGGGAGGTGCAGTTTGACCAACCTGTTAAAAGGCAAAGATCTTGCCTATGAGCAGACAAGAACAGAAATAAGTTTTCAGACCTCATCAGGGAGAACAAGGGTTTTCTCTGAAGCTCCACAGAGACCACCGAACAACTCGTTGTCAAAAATGCTGAACCCACGGTCCAGGAGCAGGCCAACAACCAACGGTTGAAAGCAGAACACAAACTGCTGAAGAGCAAGACAGAGGCTCTGGCTGAGGTTATCGGGGAAAACTAGAGTTTGCTTCTGAAGCTCTTTGAGTACGGCCGACAACTCTTCGTCAAAAGTGCTGAACTCACGGTCAACAAAGAGACCTGGCAGCAGAAGTTGGAGGAAAACAGATTCAAGGAACTGGATTACCAACAACAGTCCTTGGAGTAAGTAACAGGGTTACTCTCCACCAACATTTCTCTTCAAGAAGAGCTGCACAAGGAGCAGGCCAACAACCACCAGTTGGTAGAAGAACACAAACTGCTAAAGATCAAGACAGAGGCTCTGGATGAGACTATCAGGGAGAACGAGGGTATATCTCTGAAGCTCACCGAGACCAAAAAAAAACTTTCTGTCATAAGTGCTGATCTCAGGGTCAACAACGAGACCTGGCAGCAGTTGGAAGCAGAAAACAAACTGCTGAAGACCCAGAGGGATTCTCTGGCTGCTTTAAAAAAGAGCCACCACCATGAGGAGACCCACCACGAGATGGTCACAAGCAGTGGTTTTGTGGTTTCACTGAGTTGTGTCTGATCTCTAAGATCCAACAAACGGAGGATACCATTCCCAAAGAATATCAGATCCTTATCACCAGGATCCAAGAATTAGAGGAGGACAAAACAGTCCTTGAAAACATCTGCCTCGACTTAAAGAAACGGACCGGCAGACGGAGATGGACAAAATGAGGTGCAAGATGCAGGACAAGGAGACAAAGAAATAGGAGAGAGAAAAGAAGAAAAAGGAGACCATCCAGGACGTCAAGATCAACGTGCCTGAGACTGGACACAAGTAAGAACACCTTCCTTCGCCTCCCACTCCATCCTACCTCATCCATCTACCCCCGCTCCCCTTCCACCCACGCTTCACAGCGCTCAAGAACCCTCGCGCCCCCACCGCCAGGGCCCCCATCACACCTAAATACCCCCCTGCCCCCTCCCTGCCCCTTCCACCAGCTCTAAATATGTGGGGGGCTATATAATGGGGGGAGGGGGAGCGGGGGGACAGGGGAGGGGGGGGGGGACCATTTTCCCCCATTGAAAAAAAACAATCGCCCCCCCCCCCCCCCCCATTGAAAAAAAAACCCCACAAATCGCCCCCCCCAACGGCGCCGCCCCCAACACAGCGCTAAATACCCCCCAACAGGCATGGACCGGCTCCTCATTCATTGGTGAGTAACATTCCCTGTGCTCTAGGAAGTGTTTTTTTCCAACTTCATGGACTGGACAGTAGCACGGCAGGGCCTCTGAGGAATGAGGGATCTTTTTCATCTCATCCATTTCCTTCTTTGGCTAATGCAAGGCTGCAGATGAAGATGACGGGATTTCTGTATCTGTGCACATGCCCTGGATCTGGCCATTAGGCTGGTGTTTAGATGAACTCCCACGGCTGGGTTGACGAATCAACAGTGACAACTTGTGACGGTAGACCAATAGTTTCATTCGTCCGTCGTTGGAAATTGGGATCTCGGTTTGATTTTTCAAGTTATGCATTAGGAAAGGTAGACACACATGTCCTCCTTTATAGTTTCAATGATGCCATGCCAATGTTGCAGTAATGCCATGCCAATATACATAACATATTATGTTACTTCGTATTTGTAATATCATAGATAATAACAAAATAACATAGGACTAATATCATATAGCATTATGTAGGAGTAATATAACAAACATGTCATCATACTTAATATTTCTAATATTATTTAACTTAATATCATATACAGTGTTTTCCCTACCATTGTATCCCCCAGCGCGCCCCAACACCCACGCCCCCTCCGATACGTCCGCCCCCATAGTTGGGAACATAGGGGAAACACTGATATGACATAATATAGTGGAACCAATATAGGAGACATGGCATTACACCTTTATTTCTAATATTATATAACTTAATATCATATACAGTGTTTTCCCTACCATTGTATCCCCCAGCGCGCCCCAACACCCACGCCCCCCTCCGATACGTCCGCCCCCATAGTTGGGAACATAGGGGAAACACTGATATGACATAATATAGTAGAACCAATATAGGAGACATGGCATTACACCTTTATTTCTAATATTATATAACATAATTTCATAAACAGTGTTTTCCCTACCATTGTATCCCCCAGCGCGCCCCAACACCCACGCCCCCCTCCGATACGTCCGCCCCCATAGTTGGGAACATAGGGGAAACACTGATATAACATAATATAGTAGAACTAATATAGGAGACATGGCTTTATACTTACTTAGAACATAATATCGTAGAACGAATATCATAAAATAGCATCGTATTCCTTATTTCTAATATAATTTAACTTAATATCGTAGAACTAAAATAAAATAGCCTCGTATTCCATATGTCTAATATAACTAACTTAATACCGTAGAACTAATATCATAAAATAGCATCGTATTCCTTATTTCTAATACAATTTAACTTCATATCGTAGAACTAAAATAAAATAGCCTCGTATTCCATATGTCTAATACAACTAACTTAATACCGTAGAACTAATATCATAAAATAGCATCGTATTCCATATTTCTAATATAATTTAACTTAATATCATAGAAATAATATCATAAAATAGCATCGTATTCCATATTTCTAATACCATTTAACATAATATAGAACTAATATCGTAAATATAGCATTATATTTCAATATATGACGTAATATGTTATTACAATATCATAAATAGAATTTAACAGATGCTAATTTTACCGCTAGCCATGCCTTTAATACAAAGTATAGAGGGGTCATGTGTGTCTACCTTGCATACTGTATAACTTGAGAAATTGAACCGAGAACCCAGTTTCCAATGATGACCGAATGAAACTGTTGGACTATCTTCACAAGTTGTTACT